AATTATGATTCGATTGATCACTAATACTTATAACGTTTCTCAATTCTCTAAACTATATTTTTGAAACTGTATTTTTATAAATTGAAAAACGGATAAAAATATGGCAACTGTTGTCACAACATACGGTACTTTTGGTTATAAAAACTAATGATTTTTCGTTTTATTTCATTTTTAGTTTTATTTATTAATATATTATAATACGAAAAAATGCTTATGTTCATGAAAATCGGTAAATTGATTGTAGAGGACTTGACAATAACAAAAAAATTATAATTAAATATTAATTAATTAATAATTAAATTTAATATAAATAATATTAAATGCAGACAATGACTATTATGCAGTATAACTACTTCATAGACAAGGTAAACCAGCTTACAGATAAAATTGTCACATTGCAAAAATCAAAAAAGTAAAATAATGTTGTACTACCAGGTAAAAAAAAAATTAAAAGATCATATTTTATTTTATTATTAATAACACTCGTACAATATTTCCGTGTACGGTAAATTGTTTATTTTAAAAACTTTTGTATACATATTTAGTTTGTCAGAAGTATTAATTATCCAGTGATTAAATCTAACACCCATGGTTAAACAACGCGAGTGTGCTTTCCAACCGGATGAATAAAAAATATTTTATTTACAATCGAAAAACGAAATTTCCGCTGGAACACTTATGACCATTGAACATCATATTTAATGAATATGTACTAGTTAAAAATAAAAACAAGTGTGTTTTTCTTAAGCTGATAATAATTTTTTTAATCAAAATCGAGCGTAAAAGTGTGTACGCGTATTATGTACGATAATATTTCAGATAAGAACATTTTTTTTTTATATATTTTATGAATGTGAATATATTGATGTTATTAAAAGTGTTAAACAATGTGTTGATGTAGCTTTTCGGTTCGGAAAGCGATTCGGATAGCTACACGTCAAACTAGGCTTTCAAAATGTTTTGGATTTTGTACACTTGTAACTTAAATAATGAGTTGTAAGTTTTTTCCGGCATTATCGTCGGGATATTGTATATTTTTTTTGCGTCGACGAAGATGTAGGCACGTAGGTAACCAGACTATGTGAACTAATTATAATATTATTTGTTGACGGATGAATCCTTTTGAATGCGTTTTGGCACGGTGCGGAATCGTTTGACTTATTGGCCATATGTAACTATAGTGTACTATACGGCCGCAATAGTTTCACGCAAATACGTTCGTCTGATCGACACATATTTGTCTCGCAGTGACTATAGACGTCATAGTAATAGACATTGCGACTGACATAATATCATAATAAATATATCGTTTAATTCACCGTGTAGTTTTTTTTTTTTTTTTTTTTTTTAACGTGATCTGATGCCTTCGCATTACGTGTATAACAATAACATTCACTGCCGTACAGGTATTTTACGTATTGTATATAGTAAACGTGTACTAGATTTGTACGCGTGTTCAATAATAATGGATATAATATGACGCGGTTATTCGGCGGATCGATATTATTTGAAATTATATTTTTTTAATTTAATTTCTTATTTTTACTCGATTGAGCACACATACTTTTTTTTGGTATATATTTTTGATGTTTATGATAACAACCTATGGAATCATGCAATATCAGTGTTATTATGTTAATTTTCTTTTGGCACGGGATAGCAAGGTATAAAAGCTAAATATTGATTTTTGTTTGAACAAGTTTTAATTGTGTAAAATTTGTTTTTAGCGAGTGTTGGAATCAGAATTCTTTTCGTTTGAAAAAAATGTATGTTATTTTATTTAGCTTGAAAATCATGATTTTACACAAAGCTATTTTAATTTTAATTTTCACTTATTTTATTCTTGTATGGATAACATACAAGAGTAAAATAAGTGAGATATTAGTAGGTATCAATAGCCAAATTAACTGGTTTATAGTAATTAGTAAGTTAATATCACTGTACACGGATATTTCCAATTTCGTTAAACATAGTTCGTGTATTTTGTTATTTTAATCCATAAATTATTATTTTATTTCAGAAAATTTTAAGTTTTATTAGTATAAACTTGTAATAAATACCACATTAGAATAAAATACTTAGTTAAGACACACGGTTGCTATCCATTTTTCAAAAATTTAGTTTTTTTTTAGAAGTATTTATGCGTAATAAATTACGCATCTATAATAATTGTATTATAATACAATTATATTATACGTTTTGAACATTTTGAAACCTCCGTTATAAGTGTCTGTCCACTCTTGTAAGTAGCGCGTTGCTAATATTACAACCTGTCGCGCCCGCGATCATTGCCTCAATTCGAGTCTCTTTCCGAATATTATAATTTCACAAGCCAGTGGGCTCCATTCGATACACCTGCACTCGCGCGCATTTACGTGTACCTATTTACACTTTGCACACCTAGTTTTTACGGTACCGTACCAACGTTATATCCAGCATGTATACACTGCACGCTTTTTACGTGTGCATAATTTCGATGCAGATTACATTTATTGCAAATAAAATAACTATTATGGCATGTTTATATGCGCGTACACGGAACTTAAAAGCTAAACATCACACACTTTTTTGAGATCCAATAATTTTAAATACATTTAAATACATCATTGATTTATATATATATATATATATTCATAACGATTTATTGAGCAAACTAGCTATTATTTAATGGTCTACTATGTTATATTTTGTACATGACATTTTAGTTTATAAACCATTATAAACATCAGAATCGTAGGCGAGGGGTGCGCGGATATTATTATTTTCCATCTCCTTCAGTTATTATTTTAATAATTTATTAATGAACCGTAGTTTATGCTAGGGATTAGGATCTGTCTACTCGCATATTAATAAATATGTAAGGTGTTTCTTTCAGCTCTTGCATAACTTTTTAATAACAATAAAGTCATTACTCAATAAATAAAAATATCATAAGGTGTGTATTGGAATTAATTGATTTACTACATTGTATACTTTTCGATTTTTTTTTTTATAGAATCGTATTTATGACTATTACTAAAGTGTATTATATTTATGTCATTAAACATTTTTTAAATACGCCCTTGATTTGCATCGTACATCATACTATAGTGTTTTTTTCAATAAAACATAATAGTTATTAAACCCTCTGTGCTATTATCACTGAGCAAAATTTACTGACAGTCAAGTCTAATAATTATATATGCATACTATAGATTTGTGTATACATTCCAAATTTTGTTTCGCGTATGTACCTAATATATATATACACACAAACATTTTGTACATATGGCTAAAATACGTGTAATATATTGTTGTGTATAGTTTGTACAAAGCCATCGCACGTTCTAGGCTACACGTATCTTCTGAATGCACTCCGTTTAAAATCATTCGTGTTGCGAATAGATTCTAGTTTTAAATTCTTATGATACAAATGAATAGTGAAAAAATGTGACATAAAACCAACATCAACCATATGCTGGTTTCGATGTAACCGTATCGGTTGATTATTATTATAGTGATACTTTCACAGCGTGCTTAACATGATTATCCTCTTGATATTGAGTTAGCTTTCGAAAAAAAAATAGAGATTGATATTTTCAAACAATCTTTTTGTATAATCAGAGCATACTATTACAGTAGGTATTATATAATTATATATCTAGATTACATCAATATGATGATATCGAGTATATTTTTGCGTTTAAATTAATTTGAAAACATTTGTTTTAAAGAGGTCTGCAAATATCCGGTACCTATTGGTTTAATACTATTTTACATACAATCTTTAAAAATAAATAAGTATAGCAAATAAAATTTTTATCTTTTACGCATTAAATGCATTATTTTATTTCATATCACGTACACTCATCTTAAGTTTATAATCTGTTCTGGATTTTAAAGTGGTCCTGGTCATTATATTTCTAGTCCTATGATCACCCCTAAAAAGTGTATGTTAATTAAAAATTACAAAAACATAACATTTAATGTGATCCGGTTGAGCTGAAGTTAACGTTTATATAATATGTTATATTAAGTTTATTTATTCATAATTAATTGATTGTATACATTTTTTATACCTTAACTAAACCTATGATTCTAACATATTATTAAAACACCTAATCGTTTATTCATATAATATTTCTTTATTTATATGGAACACGCAGAGAAAATTAATGTGCATTAAGTAATATATAATACAGTATGTGTAGATCCGTATAACAATATAAATTTTATAACATTTAACTGATAACAAAATGATTTAATGTTAAAAAGCATTTAGAATTGGCCGATGTGATTATATTGTGTTTTATCATTTTTTTATTTATTTGTAATTATTTTGGAATGAATATTAATTATATTTTTATTAATTTATTTTTACATATAATTAGTTAACAATTTTTTTCCTTTTTTCCTATTTAAATAAATAATATATTTGTTCATGTGTTGTTTATAATTATCGTTGGTAAATGGTTTTTTTCTTGATCATTTGATATCTTTATTCTTGACCTTTAATTGACGTGATAATTGAATCCAATTCACGATAAAATATAATACAGCATACATTTTAATCCATGATTAACATACCAAAACAGTATTATTTTATATTGGAATTAAAACGTGTATTATACTATGTAGTATGATAAAACACAAAATGTGAGTACTGGGTATCAAAAAATTTGATCTGAAACGATATTTTATCCGTGACAATTTTTTTTTATACGTTCATTGTTAAATTTACTTGTACAAATCGAACGCCTCGACGATTCGAAGCAACAGAAGAACCAGTTTTTTTTATTAATATTATCATAAAAAGTGCGCCAAAACGACATCAGGGAAGTACTATATACATACAGACACACACACACATACACACACACACACGCGCGCGCGTTTATAACAATTATTATACAGTAATTTTATATCAAGTGGCGGTATTCTTCTATACCTGTTAATGTATATATATATATATATATATTATATATACATAATAGGTACACACTACGATAGAGCAGGCAGCATTGCAGCCGGCAGTCAGTTTCCAGCAGAACACCATTCGTTTTAGTCTAGCAAGTGAAATGGTCGTGTGCAATTATTTTTCACGGACCAGTTTAATTTATTACGTTTTTGACCGATAAAGCGAGAGTACTCATCCGTTGTTCGTGCCCATTGTCGTATACGAGATCGACTATATAATATTCGAGTGATTTCTTTTCTGGTGGAAATTATTAAATCGAAAAATGCCGTTGGATCTTGTGACTGCCACTGCATCGGTCGCAAGTTACGAGACAATCGGAGTACGCTGAGATTATAGGACATCGATGTAGACCTGAAATACATTCGATGGTATGAATTGTGACATAAAAGTTTCAAAAATAATATGCAGCTATTATTCGTATTATTTTTACTCCCGTGGATGCTGCAGCCGTCAAAAAGCGTTAAGGTAGTATAATAATGTTTTATTCTTTCTACGTTGTGATCATAAATTTTCTACTGTATTAAGTGCACTAACTGCAGTTTATCGCGCACGTGTTCAGAATATTATATACGTTATTGTAATACGTTATGCCAAGTAAAAACATTGACGAGATTAAATTTTAACATTGCGAACAGCGTGAATACTGTTTATCTTGATGTGTAGGTTTCAGTGTATTCGTAAACGTAACATATTAAACGTATTAAACATTGATTATTTGGTGTAAATAATATTATTATAATCGTAGTAACATTATTTATTTAAAAATTATGAAAAAACTAGTCGTTAAAATAAATTTATTCACGAACAGTAATTGTAGCACTTGGGCTTGGAAAATTATATTAAAATTGTGTTGTAGTATTAAATAGAATATATTATTCATTTTGCGTTTATCGTATAAAATTATTAGGAACATTGTGTATTTGGTACCGTAAAAGGTATCAATAATATCATAGAGCATCGTGCCAACGAGGAAGTGTGAATAATATTATCGGGTTTCAATTGTAAATAAATGAAAATAAATAATAATTGATATAAATTATGAGTAGTTTCTGTAAACGTAGTAATGAATCCGACAGTTGTTCTGCTATAAAAATAAAAACACCATCCAACAATATTCATTTTCTGCCTTAATTTTATTATGATTAATGGAAATCTTGATATTTGAAAATTATAAACATTGACACATACGTCAATAGAATGCTTATTTTTGCTTTGTTCTATTAATTTTGTCGAGGCAGATAACCTTTATAAAAAATTAATAAATTCACGTGAGTAAGTCAGGTTAGGATTAATATACTATTTATTTTTCTAACCGATCTTTTAATCTTATAAAAGTTAGGTTTTATTTGTACATATTCTAACCTATAATAAATTAATTTTTGATATTTATGTAACATTTATCTATTATAATTAGTATAATTTTTTAATTTTGTCGTCATAATTTTGCATAACCATCATGATGCAACCAGAATTTTTCCCTGCTAATTATCTTCCTTGAAGTGTTAGCTCAATTAAAAAAGTAACTTTACATTTTTTAAGTAATTATATCACGATAGTAATCTCAGGTACTTGTAAACTATTATTCTTTTAAAACGCAATTCAAATTAAACAAGTCTCTGTTTACAATATTGAGTGTTTGAAAATATATAAAAATATTATTCAGAAAGTATTTTGAATAATACTAAAATGACAGCTTGAATCATTTTAAGATTTTATACATAACTAGGATCTATTAATAATGTAAGCATTAAACATGTTGATGCTTATTGAGTAGGATGAAAATTAGGTATTTGTTTTTTAACTAACAAAAAGTTATATTTTCATATTTTTTTAGACATAATAATGATTATTTAACTGTTTCAGTATTAAATACGATTGTATTGCAAACTGCAATACAAGTTTTATCATATAATATGTAATAATATACATATCAGGGTATACTACTGTAAAGCGCTGTTGAGGATTGTTTGCTATGCTGAGAAAATGTTTGTACTGTTGGAAATACATTTTTATGTTGTTGATAATATTATTAATATTATAATCATATTATGGATGAGGAGTTTGGTGAAATGGTTCAAAAGTTATATTTTTCAAAAAACTACCTTTGCTATTTTTTGTGAGAATTATGTGTACGTTAGTAGAGTGATTTTCAAATTTTAAATATTATATATTAAATTATTATAATAGTTATATGTATTATTTTAAAGATTATTTTTCAGTAGTTGATTACTTATACTTGCTTACACTGAACATAGACATAGTTCCCATGTACTTATATTCAGTATTATGTGCAGCATAGTATAATACATAATACCCTATTTATATGTGTTATAAATATAATTTATAAGTATTTTATTTTTGGTTATTATTTATTCATTTTTGCAACATTTAATAATTATATTGTTACATTTATATATTTTTCGTATATTTATACAAATAATAATATTTTTACATTTAGAGTAGTTATAAATGTGACCTGTGATGGAGGAGTAGAGAGAATTTAATGTATTGTTGACAAAAATCCTTAGAATAGACCCTGATATATATTATTATAGTCTAAGGAATTGTCATAAACCGATTATTTTAGGAATGTGTATTTACTTTCCTTATGAACCATAATTTAATAACCAATGTTTAATGTTGTTAATTTATACTTTATAATAAATAGCTTCAAAGAAAATAGATTATAATAATATGGTTCTATATTTTGAGGTGGTTTTCATTTTGTAGGCTATAGGTGTCGGCTCCTTGTATTCCATTTGAATTGTGCCACCGGCCATTGGACATAACCTATATACATGAAAAATAATTACATAAACAGTGTTAAGACTATAATGGTCCACGTTTTGTTATAATTTTTGTCTAAACTGTAGATATTTTGAAGGTGAATCAAATATCTGGTTGATTGAAACGACTGTTGTTAATAGTATTTGAAATAATATATGTACGTTATACTTATTATCTATAACAATTTCGTTATTGATGTTCAATAGTAAATACCTCTTTGTATTTTATTAATATTGTTATGTTTAAGTGCTCAATCGTTTTCTCTTTGTCTATTAAAATGTTGTTTCTCCATAATGTTCGGTAATTAAATTTAAACACCATCGTTTCTAATACTAATAATATTTCAATTTATTTTATTTCGATAAAAACCGATGTTCATTAGCATCATTGTTGTATCTATAATATCTAAACATATGTACGATTAGAGCGCTATTGTAATAATTTAAATGTTAATCACAATGCTAATATAGGAATCACGTTGACCGTTACGCGGTACGGTCAGATTAGGAAAAAATAAATGTAAATACTAAAATACCGTTTTCTGTACAACATAGTTTCGATGTTGTTTTTAAATAATTCATAAACGCGGGGCGGACTCGTACGGTTAGCCCGTGTGCACGCGCGAAAACCGCGTCTCTTACGGCTCGTCTCGTTCAAAACACAATACATCCGATGTTTCAAAACCACGTCCGTTCGAACAGTTGTACTCGTCGTTTCATTGCAGACATTTCTGCATCGATTAACAAACATAATCGATCCGACCGAGAGCTGTCCCCCTCTTATCGTGGTCGTCGTCTTCGTCGTCGTATTATAATATAAAATAGATAATAGTTTCACCGATGTTCGTCTAGCGCAACGGACCACCATAATATTTTTATTCCGTCGACGACGAGTGAAAATATGCACAGCGTATCGCAAACATCGGCCGTATACATATACGTATATACTTGCGTACAGTGTTTGTGGATTATCCCGTACGTCAGTGAATCTCATCCTTTTCTTGTTCATGTCATATTTAGCCACTAGAATAAAACATCGCGTCCCCTAACATCAAAATAATAAATAATTTGAACTGTATATTTTAGAATAATTTTTGAAATAACAAAAGAAAAAAAAATACAGTACACAGAAAAATAATAAATACATCTACAATTTATTTGAGTTGCAGGGCTTAATAAATATTGACAGTTAAAAGTTTAAATTTGCAAATTAATAAAAAAAAAGAGAAAAATAATAATGATTTGCATGAAAACTGATGAAAAATTGGGCCCTGGTGATTTTTACAAAGTTGAGAAAGTCGAGAGCTGATGGTGGAAAGATCAAGTCTCATATTGTCTTCTAGAGTTGTAGAACTATAATACTACATATCTAGCGACTACAAAATAACTGACTAACGACCTGTGTTAAATCAATAAGATAGTCGATAATGCAGTGATTTTGCAAATCAAAATACTGCACGTATTTATCGGATCTAAATAATATAAAGACACAATCTTAAAGATATGCTATTTACATGAAAGTTGTGATAATAATATGATTCTATTAAAATTAATTATTTTTTTATTTTTCCTTTTCCCTTGAAAATTTCGTGTCACCCTTACACTGCGTCCATGTCACCCCGGTTGAGAACCACTGCCGTACGTGATGCTGCGGGTACTCGAAATCGGCGCGCAGCCGGCAAACGACGATTATTATCTTCCTCGGCAACACGAACGAGGAAAGTGTACCACGCATTATTATTGTACGATTCGGTAATAATTCTAAAAATTGAGCCTTTTACTTTCATTGCCGCACATCCTGTCTGCGCAGCACACCACCCGGACCATTGTTTTTTTTTTTCGCAGACCGATTTCCACACAGTCGTACATGACGGTACGGTGTACAATACACCGTATCGTCCGTATATTATTTCAATTTATGTTATAATAACAATTATTTACTCGGCGTGTTTCTATTCGTCGATCGTCCATCCGTGGACCACTGTTATCATTGCGTATTCGCGGTACGATCTCTGTGAAAACCCCGGACATTTCAAATAATGAAGATTCGTTATCTTTCGCCGCAGCAGCAGTGCAGTGTTCCGATGGAAAATCAAAAAAACAAAATCGAAATGAAATTATTACGACGTGTAAAGCCCATTAGCCGAACGTTCACAATAGCGTAGCTTGTTTCCCGATAACCTTGTCCATTCGGGACGCGTTTGATTTGCACGCATCAGTGACACACTTTATAACAACATTACAGCGAATAATAAAAAAAAAAAAAAAACATAATTTATATATGTAAATCTGAATATCGAATATGATTGTACATAATATCGCATTGTTTGGATGTTCTTTTTCTTTTTTTTAGTTAGTATAAATGTATAATAGTGTCGAATTCCTATGCCATTGTCGGGAAATATTATAAAATCGAACCAGGATTCCAGGTTGATAACCTGAAATATTTCAATATTACATTTCAAGGAGAAATATTACGATAAACACATTTTTACTTATCAGTCCATTAGAAAAAAGTGCATTATTATTATTGTCATTTATCATGTTGTGTACAATGAATCCTAAACACAGTATAAACTTGATACATCGATACAATATATTTACATTATATAGTACAAAGAACTAATTTTATAAAAGAGTTCTGATACTTGGTTTACAATAGTAATATTTACTCATTGAAATTGAATAATCATGTGATGGTATTTCTTATCTTAATTCGATCTATTGATTTGTTTTATATAATATTTATTATAGATACATCTATACCAGAGGCGGCCAAACTTTTTTCAACCACGATCTACTAAAAATTTACTTCACCTTTGAAGATTGACTTTCTTCGAAAATTTTTTTATAAATTAGAATAAAAGATAAAAATTATACAGATAAAACTTATCGATAATTTTTTCATAACCACCACGATTAATTTTCGTGCACGTGGCCTAAAAATAAATTCTAACTTGATCGATTCTAAAATCGTCCGCGATCGACTGTTTGGCCGCCCCTGATCTATACTTTGATAAAATATGTAATGAATTACAATCAAGTACTGAAAAATATACTCTAGAACAGCGATTCTCAAGCTTTCTTTTTCGCGTACCACTTGAGTATATCATCAATCAGCCACGTACCACTAATGATTAAAAATAGAACCATACAAACTTCACATAGTTAAATACATTTATTTTAAATAAAAATACTGCAGTAAAATTATTATTTATTTATTAATACAAATTTATTAGTGTTTTTAAGCTAATATATATATAAATTAAGTATCAAATTTCAAACTTCCGTTCTGCCATCATACGGCCTTCCACGTACCATCATGTAGTCTTTCGTGTACCACTAGTGATACGCGTACCACAGTTTGAGAACCACTGCTCTAGAATGATATCATAATCAGTTGTATGTATAATAATATATATCTGAATTTTTATTGAAATATGATTGTTCAAATATTAAGTGGACGATGTATATAAATTACTTTTAAAAGAATTTCGAGTCGGTTTGAATTATTTTTTAAGTGGGATTAAAATTAATGTTGTAATATGTTTGTTTTTGTAGATTAAACAAGATAGTATTCACGTGTTCACAAAATTAATGGTTACTCCAATTAATTAAATATTGTAATTTAAACATTTAAGTTCAATATGAAACGTGTATTATGTAGTGCATAAAATATATGTATGTTTAGGAGGATAAACACAATGCTAGAGATAAACGTTAATGCTTATTAATTCTATTGGTGAAAATGAGTTTACAAAATAATTTTGTTTTTATATACATCATGTTATTATTGAAATGTGATTTCGTATAGTCGTATAGATGCCATTATTATAATCATTGCATTTCCAAATGTATTAAAATTCAAAAAAACCATTAATAAAGACCAATTTTAATTCGAATTAGAGAAAACGAGATTAAATTCACAGAACCGAATTATTTTACATATTAAAATCATTTATACTCGCTACTAACTTCCGTTTTCATGCATTAGAATAACCTATTCGGGTGCATTAATACAGTTATTAGCTATGTTAATTTCGTGTGATGTGAATTTAAACTTGTACGGCAGTCTGTAATTAATATTATAATCCTACAAGGTATAATATAAGTGAAAACGGTATCAATAATTTATTCTGATATATTTGAAAACGTTATAAAACGCACACGTAAATAAGCACACACCGCGTCACCGTGGTGTAGGCAAACTAGTTCAAGTCTAATTATAATCGATTATTGTTAGCGTATATTAATCGAAGGCGATGTATGGGTCATGGATTTAGGTATTAGATATTATGTTAATTATCAAAAAACAATAATATATACTGTTTCAATAATATTTGTTTTATCTAATAATAACACTAAAAATAATTAAATACTCAATATAAAAGTATAACATAAACGTATTTTTATTACATTAAATAAAACAAAGGAGTAAATAATATGCTTGAACAAATATAAAAAATAAATATGTAGCAGTTAATATACCTAACTTTTAATATTTGTATTACTTAAAAAAAAATGGTATCGTCTGTTACATTTGAAATACATTAGGATCGTTAGTGATTAAAATGTATTTGTTAAGATCATTATCGTCAGACGTTATTCTATGTAGCCTACTATAGGCCTTCGCGCAACCATAATATCTATATTTGTGGTATATGTAAACGCACGTATAATAGGGTTGGACATTTTAAAAACATCATAATTAATATGTAATCACTGGTATGGATTATATCCGTACTCTTGATAATATTAATAATAATAATAACATAATTTATAAGGGGGGATGGAAATTAATGGTACACATGGACTATTGTTTAAATATTCAGACAATCAGTAGCAAGGGTCACGAGATATATTGTGTAAATCTAATGAAAAAGGTCATCTATAATTGCGTGTAAATATAGATTTATGATATATCGACCACGACACACTGAGATTATATAAATTGTATTTTCCAAACATATTTATAAATCCATTGCGTTTTTAGATTAAATACGGGTTCATATTGTAAAACAATGTTGTTTGGCGTGACAACATATTTCCATATATTTATGTATATGAAATACAGAAACATTTATACGAGTGTAGTTTTATGAAATAATATGATTTAAATTTATTATTTTTTGTATTCGCATTTATTACGTCTGTATATATATAACACCCATAGTAAGCATCCTGTATTTAAATTGATAAATTTGGAGGCGAAAAAAGTGTGAAGTACATAATCGTATATACTTTTTAATTAGGTTGTGTTATGTCGGAAATGGTACATAATAATATCATGGAATTGGTTTTATTTAATAATTACATCCTATTTAGAGATAATAATATATGCGTTCAGTTCGTTTTGTTATGCTCAGAATGTTACTTTTATTAAGTAAAAATGCGTCTATATTTAAGGCTTAAAATCGACATTTTAGTTTTCCATCGATAGGGAATAAATTAAAATAAATATCCTGATGTAAGAAATTTGTTTCAGATCAACGAGACGAATCTAATTGAATATTTAACACCATCGGAATGGAGGCAATTAGTAGGACCCGATGCAAGTAAGTTGCATTGATCATGCTTAAGTTCCATGAGGTAATTTTTATTTTAACACATTGTGGAAGTTGGGAAGGGGGATGTAGTGCAAAGGAAATGCAGTGAAAACTCACAAACTCTTGTTACTTAATGTTTTTTTACCTACCGAATTTAAAAAAGGGGGAGGTGACAGTGGACTAACATAAGTTTAAACGAATAAATGTTGATCGTTATGGTCTCATAGGTTTTCGAAGAGGTCAATAACATGCGCATAATAGTCAAATTATAATATAATATAGTTCTCACTGTTGGTATTTACACGCTCTAGATTTAGATAGGGGTTTCTCGTCTGTTGACAGAGCTATCTTACAGGAAAAAACTAATTATGTCAATGTTAAATTGACCTTTGTGTGGAAATTCTGGTTGTTTAAAAATAATAACAAACCCGATTTATACGTATTACCATAATGTAAGTGTATGCAGAGCGTATAATATGTATGTGGTATCTGCATATTATCATCACGCGTGTTTTACATTGTTCCTTCAGGTCAACGTTTTGGCGTAACTTACTTAAATCAAAATATGCCGAGAATTGGACTGGTCAATTTTACGTCTAATCGTTTCGGTCGTAAATTCCAATTGGATTTGCGAAAAAATATCGATCTATTCGACGATAAGTTTGTTATACTGAAAAGAACAAACGACGGGAAATCAGAAATCATTGATAACGAATGGAACGATGCCGGTTGTTATTATCATAGTTTTTCACCGCACGTAGCTGCCCTCGACGTCTGCCACGGATTGGTAAAGCGTAATAGAATTTAAAAAATTTCTATTTCATTGTATGTATATAATATACGTTCTTTGTTCAGAGGGGCATCCTCAAGTCTGACGAGGACGAGTATTATGCAATAAGCCCGTTACCGGAACGATTTCACGGCTTAGATGAAACACCGCACGTAATTGTCCGACTAGAAAACGCAGTGAAGCTAAAACACTCACTTGAAAAATTCATCATTGTGAATGAACATGACGGGTTGCCTAAAACTCGAACGAAAAGAGCTGTTTGGCCGCCAGCCGTGCTAAACCTGGAGATAGCGATTTTCGTCGACCAGGATCTTTACAGGCTTATGGCCATTAACTTCGAATCGAATACCGAAAAAGAAATCATTCGATTCGTGTTGGCCATGGTGAACGCTGTACGTTACTCGTTGAACTTTATCGACTTTACGTAGCAACTGAATACTTCTCAGATTTCTAATAGCACTATTGATATTTTTTAACCGAATGATTCACGTCTCAGGATTTATTTCATAAACAACGTTATATTACAATATTTATTTAATTATACATTATTAGTTACTATGTGTAACAATTAATTACATATAATTTGTACATCGAATAGTAATAATAGCATTAATTAATATTAACAATATCAAGTGTATAATTATTTGTATTAATAATATTAGTATCGATTTATTTATAATAGCGGAAATGACATATCTGAGAGTGATTTGCATAATAATAAAAACGATTTATCAAAACGCTAATGGAATCGAAACGTATTACAGTCGCATTTAGTTATCGATTTACAAATAATATTGTCAAATTAGAGGACTCCTGCAGCATATTGGCAAATAATACGTGCAAGATTAAAATATCTGTTTCCTTTTTTTTTGTGGTCGTTCAGGTTGACTTGTTGTATCATGACCCGTCGCTAGGCCGTCAAATTAATTTTATCTTGAAGAGACTGGAGATCTTACATTCAGATCCCGATGGACTGTTCAGATCTAATGATATAGATCGGTTTCTGAGCAGTTTTTGTAAATGGCAGCAAACCGAAAATCCACCGCAAGACTCGGATCCTTTGCATTGGGACCACGCCATTATACTGACCGGCCTCGATTTATATGTGACCGGTAAAAATGGTAAAATCAGTAATCAAGTGGTAGGTGAGTGATATTTTTCGATGAAGGCGGCAATAAACCGTGGCTTTAAACGGCTGTTGAAATTAACGGATCAATTATTCTTACATTATCTTACACAGGTCTCGCTCCTGTTGCTGGCATGTGCACGAAGACTAGTAGTTGCACCGTGAACGAAGGTCGTCATTTCGAGAGCGCTTACGTAGTAGCGCACGAAATCGGACACAAGTAAGAAATACAAATAAAATGAAACGAAAATAATCAATACATATGCTTTTGTTGACAATGCGTTCGTGCAAAACGATTCGAATCCGCACGAGAACGATGCGTGAAACAGTGACTATTGATCTTATCCGAACGTACATTTAGATTGTATTTTAATAATGATGTATTTAAAAGGTCCGAAAAAATAAATAAATATGAAAACAACAGTAAAATTACGAGAAAAGTGAATTTTCTTTTTTTTTACGCTCTATTATTCCACGTCTATGTTAGACGATCTCGTGCTAACTCGTGGGATTGTTGATTGTATAGTGTAAGACGACAGTTATTTTGTTTGAATCGTATTTCCAAGGACATAATAACCAGTTTTACATAAAAAACATAAAAATTTGATCGCATAAATTACCATCTTGGCGTTTCGTATAAAAACAATTGATAGGTTAAGCATTTAATGTGTTTAATTTGTTTTTAGTTTGGGAATGCGTCATGACGGCATTGCATCGGATAACAACTGTGATCCGACAAGTTACTTGATGTCACCGACCCTTGGAAGTGGTAAAATTACATGGTCTACGTGTAGTCACGAGTATCTAGAGAAGTTTTTACAGTAAGCATTTTACAAAACGTTATTAGCACTAATATTTGGAAGACAGAAGTTAAATAGTTTTGCTTCATAATTGTTTGGTATTTTAGTTTAGTTATGTATAAACAGAAAAAAGTATATGTATAATGCATAAATAATTTATAATACAGTTAATTATTTTATTATTTAGTTTAAATTTTAAATTTCAAATCAAATTGTTTGATATCTTATATTAATAATAATTTATCTAGCCATATAAACAATTTGAATATATTTAACAATTATTTGTAATAGATTAAATATAATATTAAGCATTTAATAATATTTAACCATAATTATAAAGTATTTGGCCCAATTCACTACTTAAGCATGTCCTCGTTTTGGTGAAATAGGAGTCTAATAAATAATTTAAATATTTAGTTTTTAACAGGAGCATACCCAGAAATTTTTTATGGGGGGGGGGGGTCCAAAATTTTTATTTTATCTGATAATAGGAAATTAAAATACACTATTATTATACTACTTACTATTAAATCGTTGAGTATGTAGAAATTTAAATGGAGTGTCTGAACCCCCCCCCCCTTGGGTACGCCCTTGGTTTTTAACAATTATAAATTTTAAGAGAAAGAAAAAAGAAGAAAAAAATAAATAATAGTATTCATAAGCGTGCGCAGGCCTATTTACAGTTTGTAATATTAAGTGGTATATTTTTTTATAGATCTAGTCCTACTTTACCAAAATATCCACTGATTTTTAATGTTTTGACTGAAGAAATAATTAAATTATTATTTTGGCGTAGAGTGTGCAATATATTTTTAAAATGTAAGGAATTTCGGTAAAATAATTGTTTTAAATTAAAAACTTTAGTTTCTTTAAAGAGTCTTTAAAGTTGAGAGGGATAGATTTCTGGTTTTTTCATAATTCATTTTATAATACTTTTTTGTACTGTTTGTAATTCGTTGCGTGTCATTATTCCAAGTCTACCCAGGCAGTAGTACCCTTTTGAAGTATTGATTAAGTCTTTGCAAAATATACCTTACCTACACAACATTGGTATTTCTAGTAATTTTTTAGCATGAATATAAAAGTAATTATATTTATTCATTTTTAATACTAAATTTTGAATTCGAATACATTTCATATGTTGTTGAGTATAATACCTATATATTTAATATTTTCTGTTTTTTTTTTAAAATTATTTCTTACGAATCATTTTTAAATTGTTTTAACAAGTAAGGTTATATAATTTTAAGTTGTTGAACATTGTATTGTATGTGTTAAAGGTGTTTTTTCGTGCGATATAACAATAAAAAATAACGAAATACAATTATTTCAGGAGTTCACAAGCTGGATGTTTATTCGATGAAAGTGGTACCTCTGAGTATCTGGACCATAAGCAACAAGGTCGCTTGCCCGGCGAACGATTTGACGCACATGAGCAATGTGTGCTTAAGTACGGTAGAGGTAGTGTACACGCTATTAGTCAAGACTTGGGTGAAGTTTGTCGGGACTTGCATTGTCAACGTGACCGGTACACGTGGACATCGCATCCCGCATTAGAAGGAACATTATGTGGCCCAAACAAAGTAAGAGTTTGTGAGTTTAATGTGTAAGTAATCACAAATGTTAAAAATAAAAAATAAAAATGTTATAATAGTTTACATTAGTAGTTTACAATATACGTAATATTTCGACGTCATATTGACACTATAGTTTCGAAAAAATTATTTTGTATTATTTTTTTTGTTGTTGTCGTTTTTGGGTACATGAAATATTTTAAAGCATCGAGAGAAACTTATAAGTCGAACAGCTTTAATATATTTTTGAGTTGTACTCTTAACCGACCATCGATTAAAAATTATACGTCCAACATAAAACGATATTTATGCATATTTTTACAGTCCAAAGTAATTGCGTTTGTAACGGTTTTAGTGGTGTAGAAGCGGTCGATGCGTGCATAAAGGTTTGTCTGCCTTACAAGCCGGATTTGCGCCACACCAAAGTATCGATGGTGGGTGGAGCGATTGGCAACCGTTCTCGGATTGTGCTTCGTCTTGTTTGTTGGGAGATAAAAACGATCTCAATAGCGGAAGTACCGGCATCATGACCTCACTGAGGAGGTGTAATAATCCCAGGTAAATGACAACGGTTTAAACAGTGTTCGTTTAGAGAGCCTTCTATTTACTAAGATTTATGAAATTTCGTAATTGTAATCGACGTAGTACTTTGGTACGATAATACTACCGAGAATGGAAAGTATTATAAGTCCAAAGTTGCCCTGAATTATCACGACGTTGCGTTAATAATTGAGTGAATCATTTAGGCATAAAGAAATTAGTAGAAATAGCTAAATAATCTCTAACCATGACGCGTAGTTTACACATAACATTTTGATTAATTGATTGTATTTGTCTTGTCCGTATTCTATAATTATGTGTACTGTACATAGTCTAATGTGTAACTATTAAATCTGAAAAAGTATGTTGTATTTTTTTGGAACTTAGAAGTTTATCACTTCATATTTATTCATCTACAAGGAATGTATTAAAGAAAAACATGTATTGTAATCCTTAAAGTATTATTTTTCATTCATTAAAAATAATAAACAATTTTGAATTAAAAACTTAATAATAATTTAAAGCACTATTTATAAGCACATTTTCAGGAGATAACCATTTTTGAGTCCTTTCTGAATAAATGCATCCGTGGTCTTCCTTAAGTGTCATACTGACAACGATTGTGATTTGTATTGAATTACCGTACTGCGCAGAGTTTCAGGTCAGGTTGCAGCGAGAGTGACCGTCGTCGACCGGCACTATACCGCATACAAACGGCTCACAGATCTGTTTATTTATTTGTTGTTCTTGATTTGTATAAAGTAATGATAAACAGACGAAAATTAATTAAAAATTTATTAGTTAAATTAACTATAAATCCAATAAAAAGATAATTTTCGTTGCCGGTGTCGATTTGGAATACGTGCTAACGTTTATCTCGAAACATTATGTTCTGTCGTTTATGATGTGTTCGAAGAGTATTACACAGATAGCTTAGCGTTTTGAAGTTGGCTTAAAGGTAAGTATTGTAATGGTTAGATTTATACTCAGTAACGTGAACTATTTCTAATTCTAGCAACAAGTGGTGTTTGAATGAAAATCGAAATATGTTCAAAGATAGCTTTTATATTTTCTTTCTTTAATCCTTAACTTTCCGCGTTTTCCGAATGGTCTTATAGAAAAATATATAATAAAACCAAAGAAAAGCCGTTACCGATAAAGGGAGGGGGTTACGATTCAACACTTTAATCTAATCAATTTTTTGTAGGCTTACAACGTTTTCACTTATTAAAATCAAGTAGTTTATTTACAATCCGTAGATACGAATAATATAATAAGTACAGGGTTGGACTAGCTTTATAGCTCGGCCCGGGCAAAATAATTTCGAACGGCCTCAATGGAACTTTATAAGTAGGTAGGTACCTGATCAAATTATTGTTTAACTGAAAATGTATCTTCGTAACTCAAAAAACAATATTCACACAAGTACATTTGAGTATTTTCAGATTTAATGTTATACCTTAAATAAATCTAGTTACACATAATATATCTTATCTATAATATTGATATAATGACCTACCTATTAAGATAAATTTTACACAATAAAAATGATTTGATTTAAATATGTTTATACATTTAATTTTAATTGAGCTAGAACATTGGGGTCGGCAACTAATGTCTCTTTTATGCGGCCCACAGTAAATTTCAAAACTAGCAAATGTCATTGAATATCATATACATTTTTTATATTGTCTGGCTCTAGAACCATTTTTAATTTGGCCATTTAAATGTGGCCCAAAGGTCCATTAAGGTTTGAAACTAAAAACAGACTTGTTATTGACTGAACGTCAAAACTATTAAAATGTTTTTAAATAAAAGTCTAATAAATCTTATAAAAATTATTATTATCGAAAAACAATTTCGTTATCGCATATCTTGCGTGACAATGTCTACCCATACCATGGTCTTAGAAAATTAATCTTCTAAGACCGTAACCCATACCAACATTTTATTTTAATAAAATGTTTGAACAAACGCGAACGGTACTTCGTATAATTAACATATTGTACACATCTTTTGTATTCAAATTTCCTACAATTTTTCTATTTATAAATATTCTGATGAAATCATTGTTATCAATTGGCTTATCGCGACATTAAATATGTTAAATTTTCAAACTCCGAGTTACCTAATCCTGTGTCATCGCATCCATTAGTAATGTCATGTTACAAGACGATATTTTTTATTTTATTTTAAGAGTAGAAGATAGACGCATTAAATTAAAAACAAAAAAATCTAAGTAATTTTATTTAACCAAAATTACAGCAGCCCACCGGGGAATGCCCCGTTGCCCCGGTGGCCTAGTCCAACCCTGAATAAGTAATTAAGACAATTATAGAATATAAATAAAGAGAGTTTACAAACAGAAAGAGGATTTCGTCCACTGGCTGCACTTCATGGGAAAATTCTAAAATTAAACGATGATATTGAAAAATTAAACTGTTTAGGACATCGGCCTAACCCAAATCGGCCAAACTCAATTGAACTTGAAATATGATATCGGTTGGGTCAAGGGCAGTGAAAACTCATTCTACTGCACCCGTGAAAAATAAGACTATACAATATTGGTAGTTAATTGTTTGATATTTGGCGCCAGCATTAATAAAAAACTAAAAGGTTCTAAATTTATATTTTTTAGGTTATAGTTTATTATTAGCGTCAATTGTCAAGTGCTATATTTAATAAAACGGATGCTATAAAGAATTAAATAATGTGAGAGCTATAAAAATGTTAACAATAGTTGCCCGTAGTGCTTATATTTCGAGTTAGATTCCTCTTGATTTTGTAAATGAATTATCAAGCATATTATCTGGCTATCAAGCATATCAACGGCTCAACACCGTTTAAATTATCGCTGGCAATGCAAACGAATATGTGCCAAAAATAATAGCTGCACTCATGAATGCTACATAAATATTTTTCGAGTCAGGAATCCATGGTTGCAATCATAAGATAAATATGCGTGTGAAAACGTACAAGAAAAAAAAAAAAATTCAAATAAGGTGTAAGCGTGTTGCAACTGTTAAGATTTTAAGTAGTTTACATTTTACTTTTAACCATCGGTCATCTGTTATGTAAATAATAATGCCGAATAATTATTTATTTATTTATTTATTTTTCATATGACTTTTTTTTTGTTAGGCCTTCGACATTTAGTTGTAATATTCTTGTATTTCTCTTAAAGTCCTTATCGTCCAAGTTTCCGTTGCTATCATGTTCTTCTGCTGTTTTGTCATTGTTAATTTGAGTTTTGTTATTACATTTATTTATTTTTTTTGTTTTTTGACTTTTATAGGTTTTTTTATGTTTTTTATTTTTATATTGTATGTAGCCCTTAAAAGGACTGTTTTTGCCGATATGGCCAGGAAGTCCTGAGACGTTTGACCGTCGTGCTGTTGCTGTTTCGTTTCGTACTTCCATTATAATATTCGCAGTGTTGTACCTTTAAAAATATGGATTGGTAAGCACTACTTACAGGGGAGACCTCGAAAAGGTGCAGCAACACCTTCCCCGTCGAATAATTATAAGAATACAAATAATAATGTAATAATATATATGAGTTCAAGTGATTATTTGGTAAAAAAAAACTACAATGGTTGTAAATAATGGTTATAAACAATGGTATAAATATTTTTGATAAAGATTAATTTCATTTTATATTTAGAATTATAACATTACATTCAATTATTGGAGTTCATAAAACGATCAATAAAATTGCAATATTGATTGCATTTTAATCCTACATTGAATACCTAATTTGAAATTAATACGATTATAATATGGTATTACTCTACTACTTCAGTTGTGTTGTTGAATATATGATTTATGAGACCACCCAAAAAAAAATATGATTATACGTGCAAATCAAAAAAATACAGCGACAATATTAATAATACAATTAATTATACAATTATTGTATTAAGTGTAAATAGTTTCTTTAAAATTAAAAATTATTGTTCAAACTAATTTAAAATATTATAAAATTGTTTACAATTTAATTGAAGTAGTTTTGTAGACTTGGTATGTAGTCAAATAATAAATTAAAAATAAAATACTTGCACTGCTTTGAAAATTACGTGATAGTTCTAAGTATATATTTATAAGTATTTTCATAAATACAATATTTATAATAAGCACCTATAATATAATATTTTCTTAATTAATATTTTGAATTTATATAATAAAAATACATAACTTAGGTCTTGCGTTGAAAATATCTTAATAGCTTTTAAAATTTTGTATTATTTCTTGATTTTTGTTAGACCAGAGAATGGTGGAAAGACATGTTCTGGTGGTGATCAAAGATATAAATCGTGTTCAACAGAACAGGTAAATTAATTAAGTTCAATATAAAGTTTAACAACAATTTATTATTTCTCATATTTTAGTGTTCTAACGCACCTCAGCTTACTCTCAAAGATTTCTCAAATGAGATTTGTTTAAGAGCTAAAGAATATGATAACGAGCTCTTGGGAACTGGTTTTCAAAAGATTAGCTCTGATCGTAAGTAAAAAAAATTACTGAATACATCTAAAATATAGTTACTATTCAAAATTCAATTAAAAACAACTAAAATTCAAAATTACCTAGTATTATATTAAATTTTATCAAATTGATTGTTACGATTTGATGTAATTAAGTTGATGTATGGTAAGACTTAAAAATGTTATAAAAATTGGTATTACATATTATAATATTTTATTTTGAGTTGATTGAGATGTTGTACGAGTACCTATATAATAAAACGTTTTGAGTACGATTATGAATTTCATTTATAGCCAAGAATAATTAATATTTGTATAATATATATTATAATACCACCCAATGGCCACAGCTACCAAGGGTGTATGTAAATAAAAAAAAAAAATTAAAATATATAATAATTAATAGCCATATCTCTTATTAGGCTTAAACTGAAATAAATTTAAATCAAACAATATATTTTTAAAAATGTATTTTTTTTTTTTTTACCGAACTTAATCATTTGTATTTATCAAGTCTAAATTGTGAACATTTTTTTAAAGAGCCATTGATTTTAATAAAATATAAAAACAAGTTGCAATAGCGATTACTAATATATATTGTTATAATGATTTTAGCTAAGGACGCGTGTACTGTTTGGTGTCACAAAGAAAAAGGTGGAATAAAAAGTCGAGGATGGTCTTTTCCGGATGGAACTACCTGCCACATAAAAAAAAATAAGAAAAACACTTATTGTATTGGAGGTTATTGTAAAGTAAATATTCTTATAACAGTAAACAAATACTTATACTTTAACACATAAAAAAGAATAAATATTAAAAAAAAAATTCGTATAAAAATAAAATAATATTTATCGTTTTTCGGATAAATTATTATCCTGAAAATATTAATAATTTCGAATCCGAGACATTGATTTCTTTAAAAATTAAATATTTACAATACTTAAAAACATTATTTTCGGTTGGATAAAAATTACGTCCGCCCACATTTATGCATAATTTACAAAGTAATATTCAATAAACAAACGTTTATAGACTTTTGATGAACAATATGAGTTTGTTATGTCGACTGAATTTCGAGCACTGTGTTCGCAGTTGCTAAACTCAGAGTCACAATTTAACATTTTGAGACAATTATAAAAGTAAAAAAATCTAAATTGTATTTTAAAAGCAGAATAAATAATGTTACTCGTAAATACATCAGAAGTATTAGAAATGAAATCAAAGAACAATCTTAGACTGTCAATAAATGTTGTGCATGTTTTCATATTCATTTCAAAGCATTGGGAACTTTCGAAATGTTACTTCGACAAAAACGGTCGGCGATAAATTTAGTCAATGTTTTAGGGCGATAACGTGAGTTCGTTAAATTTGAAAATAAAAATATTTGATTGCTATAAAAAAATATTGGATTTGTTTTTTTGCTCCTAAAACGATGGTCTCCGCGATACTAATTGTATTTCGTGATCGATAACTGTACAAAATGCGAAATTTCGAATGGTGAAAACCCAAAACTCGTGTTTCCGATAATTGAGGCCCAGGGTTAACGAACGTATTTGAAACCCATTCCGATAGTTCTCGATGATGCGAGTTCGCTTGATCAGCGCCTATTATGGTTATCGTTTCCATTCTACCGTTAACACTAATTTTTCGCGTTCAAAAGGAATTCGTGTGCGAGAAATTAGCGCCACCGGACTCGCTGCACGTGGAGTCGGTGAAGGGATGCGAGCCAAACGATTCTTTGCCGCCGCCGCTGCCGAGTCGTTTGAGGGCACCGTCCCGGCCGTTGCCGCTTTTGCCACCGGAGTCCGGCGTCATCGGATGGAAATGGCAGCCAATCTCCGTGTGCCATTACAGTTGCATGATGCCGGGCGTCGGTCTGAAGCTGGTCGAAGGTCAAACGTGTGAGGACTGCGAGCCGCTCGTCAGCATCAAGGTTTGCCGGCCGCAGAAAGACGTGAGTACCTAATTTGCAGTGCCGTTGTAAGCTTTTGCGAGTTTCTAGGCAAAAGCAGTAAGATTCCTTACACCAAAAAATATCTAACTATACTGAGTTAACAAAATGTGGGTCCCTGAGTAAGTGCGAGGTCCTAGGCAATTGTCTAAGCTGCCTACCCGTTAACGACGGAACTGCTAATTCGTATCGAGACGCTAACTCGGTGATTCTCAAGTGGGAGGTGGGCCCCAGCGTAGGGGCGGCACGAAATCTCCACGGGAAAATTATAAAAAAAAATAAGAAAAAAAATTTTTTTTTCGAATAAAAACCAAATTATTGACGTCATTGGCGTGCAAACACAGCGTACCTCAAAATTCGTATCTTTGTATTATTTATATTCAATCCAAAACATGAGGTTCGGAATATTTTGACGTTAGACCTGCGCAGTGTTTGATTCTAGTGGCTAAAGATAACATGAATCGGAATATATTGAGAACCACTGCGCTACGTACAAACAACGAGAACCCGTTCGCAATATTGCACTAAACTTTAGGCTGTCCGGCTGTGCGCATTCGGTTATACGTTTTACGTGTTGTATTGGTTAAATGTCGACAAATTACTTTGTGGTTTTATTATCTGGACCAAATGTTTACCGATAATGTGGTCTCTTATAATTAATAAATTATTTTTTTTTGCCTGTTGGTTTCTATTTTTAATATTAAAAAATAAATATAAACAACGATTTATGAGCGTTGGGCTCTTTCGAAGGAAAAAATTACATCAAAATTGATCAAATTATATATAATTAAATAAAAATCGGTGTATATATAAAAATCATGAAAAGTGAGAAGATATCACGAATCGCTGATTAAAATTAAAACCTGTGCAGATAAATTAATTAAGAGTTCTGTCGACCATCCGTCAGCATTGCATCAATTAGATTTAATCACATTTTTTCTATTTAAATAAAGTTTTAATGAGCTCAAGTTTCGTTTTTTTCAAAACTTATTGTCAAGTAATTATCAAAAATTGTATTAAAATAATTTATTATAAATAATGAAAATTGAGTCGGCAATGCAATTCGTGCAAGACAATAATAAGTTACGTCTTAACAAGGAAGTAATTATAAAATGTGATTATTGGATACTTAAAAAAAAAATGGAGGATTTTAGTGATACTAATGGTGGGGAATACTTTTAGAAAGTATTAAGAGTAAGGATGAAGAAGATAAATATTGAATACTTGTTAATTTACTAGTTAAGTTTATAAATCAACTGAATACTTAAAAATAATTTGATCGTTCAATGTTTCATAGTTTTAGATCTTTAGTAGTTTTAAGAATATTTGAAGATTTTATCTTTCATCATTTTCATAATTTCTTTAAAGCTTAAATTAGTTTTATTGGTATTCACGTGATTATATGTTTCATCAATACTAGTGATAAATAGTATCTATATAATTATTTTCAATAGAGTGTAATGATTAAGTAATCATCAAAGTTTAACATATTGAAAGTGAAGAGTAATCTCGTAGTCTGAGATTACTTTTCAAAGACTTAGGATATTTGTATTATTTAATTTTATAAAAAATACTTGGTGATAGACAACAGAAAAACCTAATGATACATTTATTTAAAATCGTATTAGTAGATTTTATTAATAATATTTAAATAACCATCGGGAGAGCAGAGAAATTAAGTGAGAGATTACCTTTATAGTATAATATAATAATTATTATAATAAATATTATCGTCGTATTAGAAATTTTAAGAAATCAGGATATTATGATACAATCTATTATGCTTATCAGTTTTAATAGTTACAATTTACATAATACGGTGTGTAATATATGCTAATTCGTAACACTAGTGGTAATTAAAATTTGCGATTCGTAAGAGATATAGAGCGATCCGATCCAAGAGAAAGAAGATTATAATTTTAATATGAAAATGCATTTGAGGTTAAATAAAATAGTAGGTTAAACGATTTTTAACACGGTTATAATGGTTAGCTGCTATACGGATTTTAAAAACTTAAATGTTCACGTCCCGTGGCCTAATTATCCGGATGGCGCAACCGAAATGAAATGTAACCGATACGTTACATGTTAGATATAAAATGCACGAACAATTAAACAAATGTTTAATTTTTATTTTTGATCCGTGCTACTTAATCGCAAATCGATGTGAATTAACGGCGAAAAAATGTATTTAGATTCCGATGATATTACATGACCGTTTTAACAATCGCTCATAATTGGTGTAAATTGGTTTAAATTTGTTCATGGAATAAGTATTACTGACGTTGATTGAGATTTTATTATTTTACAGCACCAATATTTTTGGTTTGCTTACTAAATATGAATAGAATTTAAAAACTTTTTCTTTTTGATCTCAAAAGTATGAGAAATTCAACAATATAATAAATGTGATTATGAAAAACAAAAAGTACGTTTATACTCCATTACATAGTGGGCTGAAAATAGCTAAGACAATTATATTGCGCCCGAGTGTTTAGATTTTTTGAGACGGTTGGTTATCGCTGCAATCGAACAACGATTCTAAGTAAAGGAGTCAATGATTTTGAAGTTTAATTCAAAATTAAATATGCACATTAAAATTAAAATTTCGGAATTCAATTGGAAAAAGTGTGTTGTTAATCTTACAGTTAAATGTTAATGCGTAGAGTGAAACATTGTATAAAATACGTACGACGAAAGAACATTTTTAAAATTTTCAAATACAAATAAGTCTGAAAGAGTTTGCATTTGATTAAAATTCGATCACGTCTATTTGGAATTGACATAAACTGTTGGAGGAATTTTCAGGTTTATACAGTTTAGTTATGTGCATTCATCAAAAAAAAAAAAACATTTACAAAAATAAATTATAATTGTCGACGACCGAAGTTACCAAGTAAACATGGCACGTATTAATCATATATTTTATTTTTTCTTATTATTAGCAATGCAAATCGGGTTTAAAGTCCATAGTGGATTACGCGACCACGATATGCACCAAGTACGGTCAAAAAGTGCAAAGACTTTCCGGCTTGGGAATGCAACTATCGTCGGTGCCAGGTGAGACAATAACAACTGGCTGTGTTCTTACCGAATACATACGATTGTTTTTTAAACATTTATTGAATATATTTTCTTGTTTGCAGAAGACATGGACCGGCCGTGCAGATTGGCTTGTCAAGATCAGTCAGTACAACACAGGTTTTATATCGTCAACGGTGAAGTCGGTTGGTTTCCTTTCGGTACCGATTGCGCCCGAGGCGATCCCGACCGACGTGCGTTCTGCTTGAGTGGCAGGTGTTTGGTGAGTGTCTTTAAATACAGTAAAATCTCTATAAAATGAAACTAACTTTCATTGGATAATGGTGCAAAAATTCGAGACGGTATATCGTAATTTTGTTTTGCTGTGTTCTTCATAACATATTTAGATTTTGTAGCATTTATTAGGTCAGTACTAACTGTGATAATTGTGATCTTAAAATTTTAAAACTTATGTTCCATTGTCATAAGTTATTGATCTATTATACAACCCTTCTTGAACATGCCCACCGGATACTAATTTTTACATTTTTTTGTTTATAGTATAAATAATCGTACATTAATTTCTTGTTCCTCTTCGTGGTTATACCTACACTCCATAGTTCACTTACGTACGCACAATTACACCAACTATTATTGGGTAGTTTTTACCTATACAATATTATTTAGTCTTTACAATATAAATAAAATATATTAGTGTATATAATTTTATATTAAATTTTATGGTTCGGTCTTAATAATCAACAACGTTGTGTAGTTTATTATCCCACTGTCTGACAAATATAGTCTAGATATCGTCCGTCGATAAGAAGACCTTCAATTAAGATAAATATCCATCGATAAAGATAATTGTAAAATTATTCTTAAAAATAATTTTTATAAGGAAATATACGTTATGGGGATTGTAAACCATGATTTTGTTTCTCTTTTTATCACACGCACAATATAGGGATTTAGATGTTTTCTATTTTTAACGTACCGATTTATCTATTAAGGCGGTAAAGATTTTGAAAATTTATTTAAATTTGTCATAAAACTTTCTTTAATCGACTTTCTCACATTTTAAAATTTTGTTCTAACATACCAATAAATTAATTTTTGTTAATTTTTATGTTTCCAATTTTTTTATTCCTATTTTGTGAAATTTTGGGGGACAAAATCAAAAAAAGTGGGAAAGTCGATATAAAGAAGACTTTACAACAAATTTAAATCAGTTTTTAAAATTCTTATAGCATCAGTAGATTGATCGGTATGTTGGAAATAGAAAACGTCTAAATTATTAAATTGCGCGTGAGATAGAAAGAGAAAGAAAATCATGGCTTGCAATTCTCTTATTCAAATAATATTGATTCACTAACCAACAAATGTTTGATAATTGTACTTGTGTAAAGGTATTACATTTTTATATATTTTAATTATATTATTTAAAAATTAAATTTGACTCATAAAAATTTGTATTTTATGTAATATATTTCATAATATAATTTGATATTTCGAATATTGCCACCCCTCAAATTTAAATACTTTAACATAGTTTAGATATTAAATATTTATCTAAATATTGAATTTCAATACTAAATTTTTGCGTTTTATAAAAATAATTTCAACAAAGCGATTTAAAATACCAGGGGACCAAATGTCCTATGGGTAAATAACTTTATACAACTCTCTGGGACCAAATGTCTTATCTTAATAATTGACGGGGACGAAACATCCGTGGGCTAGTTTTTTTTACGGGGAAGAAACGGTAGAGGCTAAAGTCCACGATTCTTATAATTTATATATTTCTGAAAAAATTGACTACGAACGAGAATATATTTTACCATTTATATATAATTAAAAAAAATCTGAATAAATACAAAAGCTTTTAAAATATAGCATTCATATAAAGTGGTTAGTCGATCTAACTTAATATGTATTGATAATTAAATTAACTAAATTAAATTGATTTAATAATTTATTTTACTTATTAACGAAAATACTTTTGAAGCATTGGATGACGTGTAAACAAATTTATCTTAATTAAATAAACCTCGTAAAATCAATATATGTTTATATTTTTTACATAGTTATCAGTATAGCTATTTATTAGCTATATATAGCAGTATTTAGCTTAACAATTAAAAATATAATTATCATTTTAGTGAACATAATAATGATTATATGAGAAATAATTGTTATACATTCTAGTATGTTGATTATACAATCCAATAAAAATAAAATAACATAATATGCCGATCAGTTAATATTGACAGATTAAATGTATATAATGATAATAGTAATATTGGAAAATAAAATATAGTTTTACAACGTGACAAGAATTGATATTTGTGATTTTGGATTCAGTTAAGTATGTACTTGGACAATTAAGAAGATATGGTATTCTTGAAAAGCAATTAGTTCAAGAGTATTGATAAAAAGGGAATTAATGGGGTGATTAGAGAATTTAGTTGGATAACAAACTGAGATAAAATATTTAAAATATATTCGGTTTGTAGATTGTTCGAGGTGCATATAGTTGCTTCTGCGCACGTCTTTGCCCATAGTTATTCTTCGCATCAAGTGTTTAGCTGGCAAGACATCTATGACACTATTGACGATGGAAGTATTACAATCGTATTCATGGGCGTCCCCAGACATTTTTCTAGGGGGGGGGGGGGCAAAATTAATTTAAAAAATAAATGAACATTTTTTTATACATTTTATTTATAGTAAATTATTATATTTCGTCATTATTAAAATTATGAATTAAAACATTACTGACATTTATATATAATGTACAATTAAAACATCACTCAAAAAATACATTAAGATAAAATAGTCCGATTATTATTAATGATAGTTTTCATAGATAGCCGTGAGCCGTGCGTTGACATAATATGTTATGGAAACTTAGTAGATCTATTTTTAGAAACTAATTTATCATTTGGAATTTTACCAATTTCTCTGGAAATAACATTATTTCAAGGGGGGGAAAGTGCCCCGTCTTGCCCCCCCCCTAGGGACGCCCATGATCGTAGTGTGATCTCTATAATGAGACATTTTTGAAATTTTTTCCAAAGAAGGACAGTCTTTATAATTTGCAATTAGTGCACCAGAATATAATGAATGCCCACTTAGTTCTGATGTTTGACGCAGTTAGATGTTTGTTGCTGTATTTGACACATCTTGACACTACAGTAGGAGCGTGTGGGACCGTATCACTGACATCGTTTGCATTGTGGTGGGAAATGGGTATTTTGCAGTTTTTCTACCACTATGTTGAAGTTTAGAAGGAAAAATAGTTGATAAATGGTCTGATTGAATTCGTTTGAATTAAGTACAAAAGTGAAAAGTACTTCTTTGCTTACTCTATGGTGGACGTTTAGCACACTCATGATGGAGAAGTCAAAATCCTGGAGGGACGTAACGATATCCTTTACGGGATTTGGATGATATAGACGGCAGATAAATACAAATACTCTGATAGGACGTGCATGACCATGTATGGACCTTTAAACCATACTCATTGCAATAATCGATGATTTAAAAGTACTCAACATAATTACGAGTTTTGATAATTAGGAAGATACCTTTGGTAGTAACTGTAAAACCATTGGTACCCATCAGAGAAATTAAATCAATTTTCAGCGCGGAGTAGATGGTTTTACCTATGAATGTGGGAGGTGATGTTTTTGTTCGAAAGATCATTTTTTCCATCACCGAGGTAACTAATGTCACTGACTGTGGATTCAGGACATGCTGTAGGTGAGATTGTGACAGGAGGAGAAATGAAAATTTCGGGGAGATCGTCGTCCACGAAGAGGGAATGAAAACGATTTGCTTTTCTTTAAATTTACATCTAGTTTGGTTGAAGAGTAAGCGATAAATTCCACTTAGATGAACATGCGATTTGACGAGAATCGTGACGGATGAAATATTATGTCGTGGTAACACAATTAAATAATAATAATACTGATAGTTCAAATTATTGCGAGCATGGTGTGATGAACGTGCGAACATAACGGTGGACAGCACAGAACTGATACAATCGATATAACGTTTATAGTTTAAGTTTTTTTACACATTTTCGCATAATATATAGATATATTATAGGAATTTATATCGATTTACTTACTAATCATTAATTGTGTACAGAGGATTGCGTGCAGCATATATTTTTATAATAATTCCTTTTAAAATAATCGCTAATAACATTACTGATGAAGATTTTGTAAAAACAATGTAGGTACAGTGAGTTCTGCTTTAGGGGACGGTGCACCGCGGTGCTATTAAACACATCTTACTACACATAGTGCCGGCGCGAGAGGTGTACAAAAAGTGCAACCGTACAGGGCCTTGCGATTATCTATCGTATTAATTAATATTCGTACGGTTACAGAATAAAACCAAACCTGTCATAAGTTATAACGAAAATTTTTAATATAGATACATACTACCATTGATTATTAATATTAATAAGAAGGTAAGAAAATAGATATAACAATAAAATAAATAACCGATTTACCAAGATTCACAAGAACGTTTTATTAACTCCATCACACTCTTTATTTATTTTTTATCTTCTATGGTATTTAGTTATTATGTAATTTTTTGGATTTCGGTTTGAAACTATCTAAATTTGATATTTTAAAGAATGTTTTTACTTATTATATCACACGAGTATCGTTGTAAAGTGCATTATGCGAATACTCGTATATATGATGTACATAAAACTAACTAATCATAACTATAAAACTTCAGGCGATAAGTCTACTGGATTTGTTATATCGTTTAATAATATTTGTGATTGGCGGTAGACTGACTTTTATATAATATATAATACATTTGAATTAAACAAACTATAGGGATATAGTTATATAAATTTTAACTTAACTGCTTACAAACTTATTTTTTTGTCTATTTTCCATGGAGAAAAAGTTTTTTTCCTAACGTAATCTTAAGAAAATCAATAATCATTAGCTGTGTAGATGACTGACACTGTATTAATATTCTTGTATCTAAGTGGCCTAATGCATCAACACAAAAATTAATTATTTTATATTTTTTTATATTTTTTATTTTGTGTTTAAAAATAGAAGAGCTCAGTAAACATGTGGATTGAAAATGTTTTACAATTTGTTGCAAGTTATTAATATATGAGAACATTTTTATATAGTCACACTAGAACTTATTAACGTAGTATAACCTTATTAATTACTTCTGTATCAGAATTAAAACATATGATAACTTCGAAAAATATTTATTATGTGTATTTTAAATACAAAACATTTATCATATCTTATGATAAACGATTTAGTAATGTTACTTCAATGTTGATATGAAAGACTTAAAGAAGAGATAATTATTGAAAAATGCATAGTTTTTGCAGTTCACTGTTTTTTATAAACATTGATATGATTACAATTTAATAATTATACTATATCAAATATCAATATGATATCAATATTGATATAAAATATCAATTTCACGATTGGCCAGACATTGACATGGTTATAATATGTCTCTATCGGCCAGCCTATGGACGACCATGCCTACCCAGACACGGAATTGACAACATTAACGGAAACATGAACATATCCGAATACAAATATAAGTTGAATAAATTGTATAATATAATAATTATATTATAACAATTATTGTCATTGTTTAATTTTTATATTTGTCCATTTGCTCTTTTAGATTTTTTTTTCTTTCGAAGAGCTTACAATTTTTCACTACAATAAAAATAAAAATTTACAAAATTAACTTATTTCAAAAGCGATATTTATTCAATTTGGGTATGATGAAGAATAAATGAATGAAATTTCATTTCTTAACTCATGAAAAAATGTATGATTTATAAATAAATTTAAGCAATCTGCGTTGAAAATCATGCATTCGTTAAATGTATCATAGTAATAATTAATATAATAGTTTACTCATTTCTAAGCCATTTCTCAGATGGTGGTCTTGCCACATCACATCTGTTCTTTCACAACTTTTCTTCCATCATTAGCTTTAAAACCTCAAATCTATAATTTTGTTCTGCTTTGCAATTCTATAGACATTTAAGAAATTATAATAAAATATCAATATACATAAGATGATATTGACAACAATTTTTAAAAATGTATGATAATTTGAGGTCAAACGTTTGGATACAAAAGTCCTTTAAAGTTGGAGCTCTAGATTTTCTCTTACTTTCAGCGAATACCTTTGTTCTGTAAAATATTATTTAAGGTAAAAAAAAAAAAAACAGAAAATATATAATTTCGGAGTTAAACCTCTTATATTTTTTTGTTAGGATATCATTTAACGGATTATTTTATTTCACAAATTTTCTCTTCCCGATTGATTGTGTCATCTGTTCGGTATCTAAATGAGAATTTAGTGGCAAATCCATATTTTTGAATAGAAACGTACGATATTTTATTATGGGAATAAAAACAAGTTAGTGAATTTTAAATAATTGATTCATTTTTAAAACAGACTAACCTCAAAAGTATTCTTGATTAACAAGAATGTGATCAGCTTATGGTGTTGTTACACTAAAGTAGGGTTTTTCAGATATAGACTTATTATTCAATGTTTTTCGTTAACGAATTCGTAAGATGCGTTGACTAAGGAAAACACTAAAATAAAATATTAGTTTTTACCGTTATGAACACAACTGTAACTAAGGCCAACATCAAAACGGAATAAATTTTTTTTTTTATATTTTCATTTATATATTATTATTTATTGAAAATATAATTTCTATCTTTAGAAGATAATGTATAATGAATAATGTTGAAAACAAGCTTAAAAATTAGAATAAAATAAATAACAGATAGGTAGACGCTTAGTTCTGCCACCCGGTAAGTTGGTTTGGTGGATTAGACTACGACATTGGAACTAATCTAACCAGCATCTATTTTTTGTTTGTTAGAAATATCGAGTGAAATTATTACTTGATACCTGATTTAGAGTTTGGATTCAGAATATTTGTCGAGAATAACTTTTTGTAGTACTATACTTAAAATAAATAATGTACCACACACCGTTTGACTAAGACATATGCATTTATTAATTTATTTAATTTCAACTTATTGTAACGAGCTGTTTTATTTTATTTTTTAATAGCATATTATACTTATCTTCATTTCGGTTTTTAATTATCAAATGTATTTTTTGTATTTATATATTTATTAATAAATGTATCGTTAGAACTTAAATATTTACATTTATTATAAACTATATGTATATAGGGAAAAAGTGAGGCCATGGAGGTCCAGGTTATAAGTATAAGTATATAGGTATAAGTTAGTTTGTGATGCAAATAATCTAACATAACTTAAGGCCCAAGTGTAACATTTGTGGAGGACTTTGGTGAGTATGGCTACCAACTGACCCTGTCAGTTCGCTTCTAGATACGTATACTATATATATAGTGTAGAATCAATTAAATAGATACATTGTTCTATATAAAAATGTATTTACATTTTTTTATAGGATTTCGGACCGGATAACATGCCTCTATCGGTTGAAGAAGTTATATCACATAATAATTTCAGTTCAAATAACCGTATAAAAAGAAGTACACAAATGCAAAAAAACGATTACTCAGTACAAGATATCATAAAACAGCTTTTTAATATAAAAAGAGGTAAGCTCAAGCGCACTGTGAGTGGATTTTTGGATAAAAAATATTCGTTCGTAATTGTTTTAATTAAAATTGTTAATAATTTCAGAAAAAAAACAAATCAACTAACTTTTTCGACAACATATCCCTTGACTTGGACAACCCTGTGGATTTTCATTATACATAAGCATATCATATTATAAAGACTATATTAGTTTTATATAAGAAATAAAAAATTATGCGATCAATCAAATGTGTTTGTGGTAGTTTGTTGATTTTGTGCCGTTCCATAGATCGATATACGGCGCTTTGTATAGACAATTTTAATACACACCTGTCTTGGTACGTCTACATCGTGTTCAACGATATTAATAACGCAATAATATTTAAAAATGGAGAACGCCAAAACCTCGTATGTGTTGTGTCTTACTAACAAATGAACAAAATAAAAAATTTGCGTTCAATATAATCGATTTCGTGTTGAAAGCTTTTGTATAAGATTAAAATAACCTATGTTGAAAGATTAGACATAATCCGTAACTATCGTTGGTTTTTGAATGATACTTCGACTTTTTAGCAAGTTATAAGTTTTTCGAATTTTAATATTTGTCCAGCTCATAAGTCACTAAAAAAATTAAATATTGTGACAAAATACGTGAGTAAACACTTAAATTATTTTATCCTATTTTAAGTTTGATAGAAGTAAATTTAATCAAATATTTAAGCAAACGTAGATTTGCTAAGTTTTATATGTTTTAAAAACAGAGAAAATACATACGAGTATACCGCAATTTATATGCTGTTTATATAATATACTATAGAATATAATATACTATATATTAATTTATCGTGTACACATTATGCATTACGAGTGAGAATGTCAGAGGTAAAGGAAGCTACTAGGCTATAGCATGTTTTTTAAAAATTTCTTTTCAAGCTTTCCCTTGTACAAATAAACATTTTATTCAAATGAACAACTCTTATATAGACGAATTCATGAAGCCAATAAACGTTCAATATAATTACACTGAGCACTCAAACTTAGGTTTTAATATTTAGTAGTCATTTATACGAATATTTACAAATCTAATTAACATCATGTTATGTTTTAATGAAATGTTACAGCCAATAACTTAATAGAGCATCAGCATATAATTAAAATGCAATAATTCATTATATATTTGTGTTACTCTTATTAATGTCTGTTTGAAATGTTTGAATACACACTTCCGCTTAACAATTTCATTACTTAAAAACAAAAAAAAAAATATGACATGCGCATGTTTTACATTTTAATGCTATTTTAATAAATAACAAAATAATGTGTAAAGTATAGTTTATTAATGCTTTTTTTTCAAAATTGTTGACCAAAATACTTTATTTAAAATTCAAACACTTTGTTTTTTACACATAATAAATATAATTTAATATTCACCGAATAACAATATAAACGTTGAACAATGTTGAATAAAATTTTTGAATAGTAATAATAATAATAATAATAAATTATAAAAGAATATGAGATTTAAACAAGTTACCAAATTTGATATAATATTAAAGGCAATACAAGATCAAATCAATAGAAAATTTAGAAGTTTAAATAACAGCTCAATACTTATGTATAGATTCGTTTAACAATACATAAACAGATAAAAAGAAGTAAGAAAAACTTATTTGTAGTTTTTAAAATATAAGCTTGTTTAAATAAGTAAAAATTACGTATCTATATAATATCACACAGTTATCTTAAAAAAAAAAAAAAAATTAAAAGGTTTGAATAGAACAAATCTAAACATATCCTCATATAGTCAATAGACAATAATTATAATAACAATGATAATAAAATAGCAATTAGGTGTAATAATATATACTATGAATAATTAAATGTTATACCTTGCAAAATTTTAAAAAATAATCACAGCTTCTGTTTTCTTCTCCCCTCCTTGTTTGACTTATCACCGCTATCTACACTTTCGTTAGTTCTTAATTCTTTGTAATAAATCTAAACAAAACAATTTTATTTTTTATTGATAATACTCTTTCGTAAGGTATAAATATATGAAATAAATATACTATGCCATTTTTTTAATCAACAATTTCATTTTTGTGATAGTTTGTCATTAGTATTTAAACTATATAGGAGTTTGATTGTTATAAATATTATTTTACAGTTGCTAATATGTATATATTATACATTTTATTGACATTCAAATTATGTGATAATTATTTTGATGAAAAAATTAACGGTTACATTGAATATTTAAAACATATTTTACACATATTTAAGTACTGTTTTTATGAAAGTGATGTGTGCTACAATAATGAAATTGAAATATCATTCGTAAGTCATTACGTATATATATATATATATATATATATATATATATATATTCATATATAAAAGTTATTATAATTATGCTTATAAAATAATATACCAACCAAAATTGATACCATTTTACGTTCCCAGATGATTCATATATTTTAAGTTCCTTTAATTGTCGCTGTGTAAAATATTAATTTAACATTATTTATGCGAATGAATTGTAGTAAATTTAATATTATTTATTTACCTATTACACGTGTAAGTCTTGCAACAAATTAAATGTGTATACACTTTTTTATTAAAGAAATACTTTTTTTATAGCTTTAATATTTTCCATTGTTACCGTGAGTTATTCTCAAACGCAACATCAAAAGTAATAGAAATTCATACCTACTATCTTATTATATTTTTAAATATTTGTAATAATAGTTTTTGATTCTTTTATTTTACATAAAAGGAAGCATTTTGTTCTAAAAATAGCTACTATAAAAGTTATAAAACAACATCGACCTATTGACACATTTTAGTTTTAGAATTATTGATAATTTTAAATATTGTGCAATAATTTAAATTATTGTTTTGCTTTAGGTAAGTGTAAATGTTTTTAGAATATAGACATGCCACATAATCGTCAAATTTATTAATTCATCTACGTAAATGGACTAATTTATATTATTTATATCTTCAAGTTTTTTACGCTTATATAAAATATTTAATTTTGAATAATTTTCAAAAATAGTATTGATCGAATAGAGAATTTTATTTGATATTTAATTTTGACATTATGAGTCGCGAGGTGAATATAAATTTTCTAAATAATTTGTCGACCAATTAAAAAGTTATGAACTCAGATGTATTTTTAAAAAACTTCCATTTAGAAAGTTCGATTTTCCATTATTATAAACAACGGTAAGTTACTAATTTAAAATTTATTTAAAAAATATTTATGGACATTACAGTCGTAGTAGATAAATCAACTAAAACTAATATTTTCATATTTCGACTAATCCAAATCAGACCGAATGTAAAAATTTTATACATTTTTACATTAATGCTACTTATTTAAAATAAATGGAATATGTTTATTTTTTACATTTGGTTTAATGTATTTTGAAAAGAATCCGATTATTCTTTACTCCAAAATTCTAAATTTCCTTACCAGCCGATGGATAAATATTTACCTTATCTTCGTTGTCGGGAACCCTGGAAAGCAAGTCCAGGAGTTCGTTGTTTGGTATAGTGTGCGGCCGAAGTATTTTTCTGGTAAACTTATTAATGCCCCAACCCATAATCAGGTATCGAATCGGAATATAGTATAGGACTATGGTGACGCCGATCAGCAACACGATAGCCAAATACGATAAGAACGGCACGGAAAAGTTTAATAGGCTGCAAAATAATACGTATGAAAAAACTCTTGCATATGATTTCTAATAAGAGAAATAAATAAATGTAGAGTTTTATTATATTAGTTTGTACTTTTTGATTTTCTCTCCAAACGACGCTATATGCCCTATCGTGTTTTGAACCAACTGCGTAACTTCTTGCACGGCAGCTACGCGTTCCTTCAGAGATTTCTTTTCTTCCTGCGAAAATATTTATTGATTTTTTTTCCGTATAAAATACACAAATATTATCAAATCGATAAAATGTTATGAAATACATAACATGTCACAACTTGTCGTATAACTATTGCGGTGACGACATACCTTGGATTTTTCGTCGTCTTGGTCATCCTGCTGGTCGTCTTGCTGATCGTCCTCGTCCGTCGTCTGCTCGTCATCGTCCTCGTTCACCTTGGACACATCCCACGAGTGCGCCACGTAGTATTTGAGGAACACTAGCAGCAGGGCCACGGGAGCCATGTACGGTTCGAAAAACTGGCAGGTAACCACGAACGTGATCAACACAAGTACGGTGTGCGTCGGCGATTCCCATTCCACCCAGTACCTGGAAACGAGTTCGTGGTTAGAAAACCAATAAAATATTTTACCACCCCCGTTGCTGTTTACCTTTCAAATTTAACACCATAAAAGTGTCAGGAAATAACAACTCATTAATTCGGTTCGCTTTGGCCGATTAGATTAGATTTTTAGATTTGGCAGTGCATCTGTTTTCAAAACCTACTAAGAGATATACAGTGTGTTCTATACGCATAATTGAAAACGCTGTAGACATGCTCTATTGGTTACTGACATTATTTGGTTTTTGGTAAGGTTATTACACGCAACCACAATTTAATTTTTTAAATCTGCTAGATTTACTGGTGGATTTGCGTAGACTATTGTTTTCAAATGTCCCCGTAAAAAAAAATCAAGTGGAGTAATATCTAGAAATCTTGCTAGCCATTCAATGGGGCCATAAGTGCCAAACTATTTTCCCTCATATACCCTATTTAAATGATCTCTAATAATATGAGCATTACGAGCAGGAGCTCCGTCGTATTGAAAATAGAGGGTTTGTTGTGTAGCTAATGGTACATTTTCTAACATCAATGGTAAAACATTTGTTAAAAATGATAAATATCGCCTTGTATTTAAGTTTTCTTCATAGAAATACAGACCTAATAATTTGCCACCAATAAGTCCACGCCAAACATTTGTACCCCACATAGTTTGGTGATGACTATCCACTGCCCAATGGAGATTGACACCTGACCAAAACGATTGTTTTGCTTATTAATAACTCCATTGTTCATAAATTTAGATTCATCAGTCCATAATATTTGATTTAAAAATAACGGTTGTGTATCGATTTGAACCAGTATCCGAGAAATGAAATTTAATCTCCTTTCTGGATCTGTAGGTCGTAAAGGTGAACTAAATCAGGATTGTAGAGATACAAATTGTGTTTTTTTTAAAATAAAATGCACGAGGTCGAACGAGATTCCAAATTCTCTACCAACATGCCTAACCGAATATCGTGGATTCAATCTAATGTATGCTAAAACTTGAACTTTCACATCTTCATTAATATTATTTTGTCTGATTTGTTCATTACGAGTTACTTTTACAGAAAATGCTCCATGGTCAATCAATAATTTTTCTATTTTAATAAATAATGTGTGTGGTGGATGGTACCGACTAACTAACGAGAATTTCTATTGCATTTACCATAAATTAAAAGCATTTGCACTTTTTCTTGGTTTTTCATTTTAACCTATCACACTATGACTTTCGCACTATGACAATCTAAACAAAAATGATTCAACGTTTTTGAGTATACAATTAATAATCAAAACAGTTTATCTATCTATAAATAATTACGAATTAATAGGTAAGTATAATTTATTTCTTATCGATATTATACATCTAATAATAGTACATATTAATATGCAATAAATGCATATTATTATTGTTATGACTTATAATTATTTAGTATTAAATTACCTGAATAACTATGCTAATTAACATTATCTTATTATTTCAAACCTCGATAACTTTATACTTTATAAAATAACTATTGTCCAGTTATACCAGTTGTACCTAGTCGATTTTTAATAAATAATTTTGTATCCTATATTATGTTAGTCTTGTTTATAACATTTAAAAAAAAAAATACGTATAAATATTCAAAAAGTAGCCAATAAGAATTAATTATAAATTATTTTACAAATTTTTAAAAATAATTTTAAAAATGTATTATTTAATAAAATTGATATGGCTCTTATTCAGTCAATATTGAACTTAGAACCATAGTTGATAAATGAAAAATACTTAAAAAAATAGGCCTATCCGAATATGGTATTAAAAATAGGCATTGCTATTTAAAAAAAAAAAACCAAATTCTCAAAAATTTTTGAAATTTAACGAAAAATGTGTATTTATATACCACCAGTTTGTAAAAAAAAAATCGATTTATTCCAAACAAATCCAACCGAGAAATTCAGTGTTCCCTAAATCGGTGAACACACTATATGTATTGATCCATTGTTTTCCGGTTGTTTACGTAACAAAGTCTTTTCATTAAATCGTGTTTGTTATATAAACTATTATCATTCGGTGCCAAATAGGATAACTAACAATCTCCATTTATATATCAAGTGAAAATATATATTGGTTTCTTTCTGATAATTACATTGTTTTTATTTATTTGGGTTGTTTATTTTAAGGTAGGCATCAATAACATATACTTTAAAATATTATTAATATTTATTGGCTAAATATAATTCATTATGTTAAGGGATTTTATTTTTTGATTCAATGGCTTAAAATTGTTTAACGTTTTGTTTGTCTCCAAGGACATAAAAAAGTGTTTCTCAACTTAATAAAAATAAAATCCAACTCAAAATGTATAGTTAATGTGAGTTCTCAACTATGTTGTTATTAATAGTAAGAAAACAGTGATCTATATAATTTTCTTTAAACAAAGGCTTAAGCAGTATTTTGTCTTAAGGATTTCGCATTAAATTTTTATTTATTGGGGATTCACACGAAATTTGTGTATTTGATTTTGTTAATTTTTGATTTTTATGTTCTGGCGTAAAATAAGAAAGTATTGTCAATAATTTTGCTTAAATTAAGCCGTGCCAAAAAAGTGATTTTCCTATTGGTTTTTTTGGTTGAAATCATTGAAGAAATATGTTACAAATACAATATGATAATACATCAAAGTTACAAACTATTGATATGTATTCGGTTCCGTGTTACAATTGTATCTATAGTTTTATAATAGTAATTATTGCTCGTTTTAATTTTGATACTTCTCTGTTTATCAACTTATTGTCGTGTGCATGTATTATTCTACCACACTAATTTGTAATTATACAAGTAGAGTTATTGCACATAAAGGTTTGATAAAATAAAAATACCAAACTGTAGAGATTTCAAATTAGGTTATTTTTGCTTAGAAACGTGCGTAAAATATATGTCCATGTGTAAGCAATTCATGTTCGTTATTTACAAAAAATCGATAAGCAAACCAAATCGATCAATTACTATCCATTCTTGAATTTAATTAATACATTACAATTACTAATTTACAAATTTGAGTTACAATGAGAAAAGTTGGGACAATCACAAATAAAAATAATTTTAAGCTCATATTGCAGTCATAGCAGATTATCTACTTTTTATAATAAACCAATGGAATATGATTGCAATGAAGAAGCTAAACTCGGATTAGCGATAAAAAAGGTCAAATCTTATTCACGGAGGGTTATTATTATTGAGAATACGACATTATTATGTTACATCTTAAATCACAATGAAGTTTAATTAAGTTTAAATCTTACTATTTTTTACGCACCCAATAGATTTAAATTTAATTTCCAGACTAAATAATATTACATAGCGTCTACCAGACAAATTAAATCAGCAATGGATTTATGAGCTCATAAAAGGGAAAAAATAGAAAAAGTACCTCTGAAAATTTTGTGTTGTATTCGCTATCGTAAAATGCGACAAAAAAAACCGTAATTAAATTCCTTAGACCGCAGTATGCCTATAGCAATCAAAAAAATCTCGTCTATTTTTTTTTTTAAGTAAACTAAGGACTCGCTGCGTTTCGATTTCGTATACAATAAGTTATGCATTAGAATTTAAATTAAATACATCGTATCGTACATTGAAACAAACGGAGTAGTGATTAACATATCCATTGACGATTTAAAATTAATCGAAATAAATTAATTTAAAATATAAGCTTTGGGTATTCTAAATAGTATATAAAAATATTCTATATACTAGTATTGATTCTAACCGATTTAAATGTTCATTATATTAATTTAAATATGAGACGTGTTGTATGTAGAAAAATTAATTCAATAGCAAATCGTAACGTAACAGTAGAAATTGTATTCTCAAGTATGTAACTATATTAAAATTTACAAATAATTATACTATACATTACTGTTAATTAAATGTTTTTATATTTACTCGAATTGTTTTCCAATATCAATTGCCCACAATACGAGCTGTTTGAGCCTCATGACGTTTCTGATCAGCGTTTGTCTTTTGAATTTAATTTCTTGATGCATGTATTTCTCCTCTTTTGGATTTAATGTCCGGATGAATGCTCGTATCTAAACTTAACGAACAAAGAAATTATCGTATGCTACATGATTGTATGAGTTTAACAAAGATACCGGGTTCCAAACAAGTCGCATTTCTAATAGGATTCTCGGATTATTTCCTTTTGCTCGGCTCGTCAACTTTTTATTCTTAAGTGAATACCATTTTTGCACTCCATTATTAATGGAAAGCAACGGTATCGCAACTTTGCCCAAGAACTCTACTTTGTAATCAGGATCTTCGTCGAACACGGTAACTTCTAGAACGGAATTGACATCTCTGACATTGCTGGAACGCAGATAAACAATTAATAATTTTATATTTTTAAAATTAGCTAGACTATTTTAGTAAATCTTTATAGGAGGGGAATTTTCTTTAAAATTAACCTCTAAAGGGTATAAAAAAATAGTATAATTTGAATAAACGATAACGTAAGTTAATACATATTATATTCAATTCCTTGAATCTACTTAAATTATAAGTTATTTCGTTTTATCTTATTTGAAGCTCGAATTAATAAAATTGTTTTTATAATGAATACATTAAATTACCGAAAACTTTATTTTGTTAAACCATAGTAAGTAAATGTGATACAAAAATGAGAATCATATGTTCCAGAATGTCGAAAAGAAGTATTTGTAGAAGTATCTATATGAATAGTGCGGTTACCTGTGGCCTTTCTTAGTATGCACAGCGTGTTAGACTACATCACAATTAAAATCGTGATCAATCTTTGATTGACATGATTATATGGTGATTAAGTTAAAAATATTATTATTTTATGTTACTAGGGTAAGAAATGTTCGCTTTGTCTTATCAATTGGTTGAAGCAATACATTTCCGAATCACCAGGTAAATTTTAGTTAATTTGCGATAAAGGCCTTTAAGGGTTGTATTAATATTCAATTAATCGGAATACGTGCAATTTTCAATAAAATCTGTGGAACTCAACAGGCTTAAAGTTTAGTTTTTTGTGCTATATATAAACTCCTTACTTTTTATGCGACAATTTACCGAGTTAAACAAATACAAATAGTTTTTATCCGTGTTTGTAAAAATAGATACATCTAAAGTTCTACGAATTAATGTTACATGTAGAAAGTTACAAAATACAACTTTAATTATAAATGATAACCGTGACCTAAAATAGTGTAGATAAATATTAGTGAAACATTCAAGTGACTCGAGAATGCTTTTTAGGTATTCACGATAATTTATGTGTACCATAAGATCGCCTGTAGTTTTTAATAGACACAAAAACTGATAAAGTGTACTTTACCATTTTCCGTATACTGGTAAAAATTATTACTGAAAATCAATGTTGGTATAAATTTATCTGTATTCTTAAATATTGAAGGAAGCGCAGCATTGATAATCATTAAGACATTCGATTATGAAAACTTGAAAAAGTTAGTAATAAAAATACGAATTCGTGAATGTTTGAATAAGTATTTTTACAAAAAAATTGAGCTCTATTATAAGTTTTCTTACTCCATCGGTTATGGTACGCATAGAATTATGGTGAATAAAACTTTTTATCCGTGGTACATAAAAGATATTTATGTTCGAGCGAACATTTTTCTCATTTATAACATAATTTAAATTATAATATCTTTAATTTATGTCTGAATATACAAACATGTTCATAATTATTTTAATTAAGAAAAAAAAATATTTAATTTTTCAACGGGATAACTTTCTACGCTCCTGGCAATACACAAACAAATATCATTAAGGGACACGGTTTGTCACGTTAGTTCCCCATAGTCACTGATTGGTACTGTAGTTAAAAGTCAAATACCGACACACTGCCTGGAGTGGCTAACTTGGACCATCCGGGTTTGCAGCAATGATTCCATGCTACCACATACATTACGCATTCTTACTTTCCACTAAATTGAAAAAACCTATAATAATTCTAACATTAATGCAGTGTTTGGTTAATAATTTACAAAATAAAAATTAATAACATTATCACTTGCGGAAAACGCGAATTTGCTTAAAATTATTGTAAATAGTGATAACAAACAAAAGCAAGGAATAGTCAAATATTTTAAAATTCCAGCGAGTACGTTGTCTATTATAATATAAAATAAAGTTGTGATTTTAAGTTTTTGATAACTCGAAAATTTTAGTAAGTTAAATTATTATTTTTCCTTTGGACTTTAAGTGATCAAGAGTCGATTGTATTATAAAATACCTAAAAATACATTTAAAATTTTCGTTTCAAAACTTATTTAACTGTATACAGTTTGAAAATTTTAGAAGACCACTAAATAATAAATTAAATTGCAATTAAATGAAAAGTAAAATTAAGTAAAAAACGCTCAGTATTAACTTATAATATTAGAAAATAAAATAACTATTTTTTTTAATTATAGTTTTAAAATTCATAGTTTTAGTAATAGTTATGATTGTATTCATTTAAATTACAATGAAGACAGAAAAACATGATTCTTAAAAGTATATAAAGTTACAACGATTTTTATAACTGTAAATATTTATTGTTATTAATTTATTAATTTGATTTATTTTAGAGTAACTACGAATCTTAAAATCTTTTATAGAAGTTACCCAATAGCTAATGACAAATGAGCAAATTAGTATAAAGTAGTGCTCTTGATACCCGAATACTCGGGTAACTACCCGGGTACCCGGGTTTTACGGGTATTACCCGATTTACAAAATTTCGGGTACCCGTTATGGATTGGGTATCCGTTATGAATATGGTACTCGTTATGGTTTGTATACTCATTTCTAGATCTGGGATTTGTATGTAAATACATATTTTTTTAAAACATGATAAATTTCGTTATCTTTTTTTTTGTTTCACAGATAAATAACTGCTATAAATTGATATTATTTTTTACAACTTTTTACAACAATTTACTATTTACTTTTACAGTACATTAAATTAGTAGCTATATGAATATAAAAACAGCATAGTTAACAACAATTTTCAAACGCCTATTAATATAATTATTCATTATTATAATTTTTGTATAGTTGTATATTTTAAGTTCAAAGCGTACCAATGAAACTATGATTATATTATACGTCATCAATAATATCGGCAGAATTTGTATATAGATATGTTAAAAATAAAAAATACTTCGAATTTTTCAAAAGGTCTTTAAAATTGAAAAAAAAATCATGATCAACTTGTACTTTTAGTATCATATTTGTTTTATATTTTAAAATTTTCTTTTATTCGACCAATCATTGAAATTAAATCTGAAAATTGCGAACATAAGCAAATAAAAAAAAAAAAAAAATCTGAAATTATATCACATCACTATTTCGATTCTAGATAAATAATAAAAAGTAATAATAAGTATAATAATTATAAGAATTATCGTGCAGACAATTTTTTTTAATATTATCTCTATAAAAATATACTGAGAGGAAATTTAGTACATAGCATTAATAATTGGTTAAAATAAATAATTGCATATCTCCTATTGATGTTTGTTTTTATTTATAATTAAAAATACATTTTACTAAAAATAAAAAAAAAAATTTTTTCATTAAATTACAGTTGAAATATATAAATATAACTTTTATAATAAGAACACAAATCATTTTGTTTATATACCAATACTGTCTAATTTTTTTAGTAATAATAATTTTTTTTTTTTTTTTTTTACTATAAAATAAGTCCTATTTATATTTTTCGTCACTTTTTCACTATCAAAATTTGCATTCCACTACTGATATTTAAATATATCAAAAAGCTATTTGAGGCTAATGATAATTAGAAAATGATAGAAAATGTATTAAAATATTTGGCTCAAAAATATTTTTTGGTCAACAATCTTATTGTTCATATTATAACAAATAGTAAGGGCTTGTTTATTAAACAATGTAAGTTAAAATAATTTGAAAAATAACTACTCGTACATTTTTTAATACTAATTTTATTCTATGAGTTATACTCTATGGTAAATATTTTAGAATCTTCATCATTATAAATATAATATAATTAATATATTAATATATTATATACAAACAAAATAATAGTATTTTAACAAATGAAAAAAAAGGTTTTTTTAGACAATACAGAAAGTACAAAAGAAAACATAGTTTTATATATTTTACAAGGACATTTTAAGAATTATTTTTTCAACACTTTGGCTGCCATAAAAATGTTTAGCCTATAACAGTTAAGTAAAATTAGAAAATATATGTCAAATACTCGTATTTATATAAACAGGAACTCTACATTTTAATAAAAAGACATAACAAAATCTAATGATACGTAAATAATCAATCATTCAGTATTTATTTTGTTAGTACCAGTATTACTATCCTAACTATTATTTGTAGATACCATGCTTCTTAGTTATCATAAGTGATTAAAATTTGGAAATTTGGAAAGAGGGTGATTGAAAAATCATTGATTTTAAACATAAAAAAACATGTTAGACACATAAAAAAGCAATTCCGATCAGAACTTGGCAGATTATGAGTTACATGCATAACCGAATGGTTTGTAAACAAATAAGTAATAGTTGGTTGAGATCTTCCATGTACATAGTTAAGATGAAGTTCGATAAGTTAAACTTGATAAGTAAATTAATTTTGTATTCAAATTTCAAGTCTAAGTAATTAAAACTAAAACCTCTATTACAAGAGTTATACCTTTACGGTGTATGAAACAAAGTTTATTCTATTTAGGAACTTAACTCTACGAAAACAAAATTGTTTTTGTTTATGCCGATCGCTAAGAAACTAAATGCTGTTTACACAATGAACAAATAAATAAATAAATAAAAACTTTTTGGGTAGTTCATTGACTGAAATAGGTTAATTTTTTTTAATCGATTTTGGATGAATGAAGTGTGCAGTATTTTGACTAAAAATAATTATACTTGTGTATGTACATTAATTAATATACGTGGCTGATAAGTTTATTATTTATTACATTTATCTAATATACGAGTACAACCATAACTGATCTACAGTAATTTTGAATAAAAATAACTAATTAGCACCACTTCTCGTTTACATAATGATAATATTATAGTCATTTGTTCATTGAAATGCACGAATTTTTGAAACAAAAAAAGTAATAATTGTCGACAGATATATAATTTAACCAATTAATTAAAACTATATTCACAAAAAAACAATTAAATAAACTATGGAATCGATATTTTATTTCAGTACATTGAAACTAAATTTAAAATGCAAAAAACGCAAACAATTCAATTATCCCTATTGCTATAACTTTCTCCAATCGTTTGACGATAAAAACGAATAAGCAGCTATTGTAATTGGTATTAATATTATTTTTTTTTTAGCTTTTAGTGTAAGTTATTATTCTCAATGATTACAAATATAAATATATAAACATTTGTAGATCACACGATGTACCTACGACATAATAATATGTACACAGAGTCCGAAAACATCAATATGAAAATAACAACAAATATTAGGATATTAATAATAAGAAATAATATGCTATTGGAAAGAGAGAAAAGTTAATATTTATGGAATAGAAATGTTCGAGAGAAATTTATCTAGAGTGGACATAAATTAAGAGTGATTAGTGCGATGCTTTTAAATGCATTCATTGATTTAGGAATATTTTTAAAAGATAGGATTGGTGGTTCGGATGATTTATTGGCTGAAATATCATCGTACGTTTGTTTCGAGTAGGATGACCGGGGTTCCCAGATTGCAGGCAATTTATTGGTCGAGGCGTATAGATGAGACATTTGTGATATGGGTTCCTATACAATTGACAGCTGTGACATTGCGATGTGTCGCAATTATCGTGAAGTTTCTCAATAATTACACTCGTATTATGTAATGATGTTATACTATAGACATACTTCGTACTATTTTGATGTAAAAATAGTGAAAACGGAAAACTATCATATTTTATTTTTTTTCGTTACATACTTATTTTACTGTATGACCTTTATCGAACAAGGCGGCTAAAATTCGAGTACTTAGGGTGAAATAATATAGATTTCTGATCACAGTCCTGTGCAAACTAATGAAATGCGAAATAACAGTGTGGAAACTGGCGTCAGTTTCTTTTAAATACACCGGAATTGCGATGCAAACTGACAGCGCCGAAAAATCGTACAATAATATACGATGGCATAGACTTACACTTAAATCCATTTGGAATAGTGATAAGTGTATCGTTAAAGGCAGAGAAATAAGAATCATTTTTGATGTTCACAGCCGGAGCGAGAGATTTGACTTTGTGTAGTTCATCAGTAGCGCTGATTGAAATCGAAACAAACGCATTGATAGTAATGTCTTCAGAGGCGAGAACGAAAAAGGGATTTGGAGAGATAAAATATTTGAACTTTTTTTCATTCTGACGTGGTGAGATTAACGAATTATAATGGACACGTTTGGAAGGTTAAGGCGTAACTAAAATATTGGACCTATGTAGCGTATGCTGTACATCAGGGGTGGCTGGTCGATCGTGATATATAGTAAATTCGAATCGATCGTGACCCCCTTTAATTTTTTCAGAAAACAAATAAATATTTTTATTTTTTTTAGTTTTATAAATATTTATATCTTTTTTCAACTCACGAATATTAAAATTGGAATAATAACAATTAAAAAAGACAATATATAGTGATAAATAGTTATGTAAAACGAAAATTATTCCGATATTGAGTAGCTTTGTAGACACATTATATGTAACCTAATGGATATTTTATATAAAATAATCGTTTTTATTAGTTTCGTATGAATTGATAAAATATATAATAAAATACGTGTTATGTAAAATAAAACGTTACTATTACATATTAATATTTCAAATATAAAAAACAAAGGAAGTGTAACATACATAAAATATAAGTGACAATCTTTTTTTTTTTTTTTTTTGGTCGAAAGTGATAATAAGTCGATCGTCGATCACAAGCTTATAAAAGTTGGCTACCCTTGGTGTATATAATTTGTATTCTACAGTTGTTATTACTGTTATTATTAATTACTATGTCGTGCGTATGTGTAGGCGAGCTTTTTTTTTTGGTCGGTATGTTTCCGTTTTAATAATATGTATTCGTTCGGTACACAAAATACATAGCATTGATTTTTTCCAATTTTTCAGGACTTTTAGGGGAAAACGCGATTGATGACGTTCTCGTTATCATCGATGAATCAAATTACGTAACTTTGACGAACGATATTAAATTGTATTATTTTTTAGTATAATTCGATAAAAAAAATATATACGTATATAGCAAATATATTGTTCATATGTAAATGAAGAAAACCCAAATTTAAAGGCGAAGGACAATAATTTGCAATGATTTATGAAGTCCCATTTTTCTCCATTTAGTTTCATATGAAATCTATACTTCCTAAAGCTTGTGCAAAATAATACGCATTTCATCAAATTAAATAGTTTTTTTTTTTCAACAACTAGCGATTTGTGAATTATAATATAATATTATTTTATTCGTAAACAAATTAGAATGTCTAAAGATTTTAGACTGAATTAGATTTAAATTTCAAGTCGAATTAATAATTTAACGTGATTATAATACGTTATGTATAATTCATTTTTAAAACTACCAACATTGGAAATCGCTATACTGGGATATTCATGCCAAAAAAGTTACTACAAAACATACATTATTTTAACTATTTTGGAAGTTATATAAGGACATTATAAGTTATTTATTGCCAGACTGTGATTTCATAATTATTTATACTCAAAAATATGATAACGCAAACTCAAAAAACTGTTGTTCCCATATTGTTCCCATGAGTAGTGTGTTTCTCGAATTGTAATAGTTTCACATTAAATTAAATAATTTTATTTGAATGAATGTATAAAGTCTATGGCTTTTAAAACAACTAGAAGCATAGACTTTGGTTTTATATAGAATGTTTTTCAATTTACACGGTTCGAAACTATGGTAGGGGAGAGTGTGGTAAGTTGATGAGTCGGGTAAGTTAACGAATTCATAATAATTTTTAACAAATTATGATATTAATCAATATTAGTAACCGATTACATACATGGTGTTACAAATAACTCATTTCTCGATACCAAGGTTATTCCGATAAGAATTAAATATTTTATCAATGTTTCTTCCCCAAATCACGTTTTAATAACATTATTGGTTCATTTGAATTAACGATTTCCCGAATACCGAAAGTATAATTATTAAATCGATTTTACACTTAAGAAACTCCATGTTATTACATATATTTTGAATATATTTATGGTAACTAATATAAACTACATGTTATGATGAATAATTAAAACGTTTAAAAAAAATTTTTGGGGCACGATGACACGGGTAAGTTGACGATGTCGTAAACTTACATCTGTACATTAAATAAATCAAATTAAATCAATTTTATTTTGTTTATATCATATATAGGTATAGGTACTAAACTGTATTTTAATTATGATTAATTTGTAATTGTTATAGGTACCTACTCAATTATGACTGATAGAAGTTCCTAAGAATTGGTATTTTTATAGGATTTTTAAGTTTTAAATATAATGTTTACCTAAATACATTTTTATTTTGTTTTTAGCATATAGGTAATAAAATGTGAATTAATTATATTCATTATCTATTTTTTATTACTTAAATATGAGTTATGACTGATAAAAGTTTCTAAGAATTGATATTTTTTGTTGTTTGAGATCTTACTTTATTCTATAAATTCTAAACTGTTTAAATAATTAAGTTGTTGATTTTGAATTTTGAATAAAGGCTATTGTATTATTTAAATTTGTTCGATCATTTTTATTTAATCAAATAATAATTTGTATTATTTTCTGAAATTGAATTTTTATTGTGAATACAATTTGTATGAAACATTTTAATAAAATTAAATAAACAAATAAATTACTTAAAAATAATATTCAGTAATTTATCTTGAGTAATTTATTATAAAATATTTAATATTATCATAGATTAAATATACAAAATATTTATTTTATATTTCATTGATTTACCTATGTAATAATATATACCAGTCAACTTACCCCAAGTACGGGGTAAGATGCGAATTCAGAATTTTATTTTGCAAAATGTATAATTGATAAACCCTTTAATATTAAAGCTTGAAATTATTACAGGCTATTTTTCATATTTAAGACAATGCTTATACAAAATTTCAAGATTTTTTGACTTTTATTTAATAATGTAAATATTAATCAATTCTTAAGTTCGTCAACTTATCACACTCTCCCCTACCGAAAATCCACACGAGTCTTAAATTTTGCAATAGTTAAACGCTAAAATATCTTTTAATGATATCGTGGATTCTATTCACGATATCTATTCTATTCTCAACGCGTATCAAATAAAAATATAGACGAGAAAAAAAATACGAGGTTAGGAACCGGGTCGTGATAATCGAGTTTATTTGAAATAGCAATTTTATAAAAAAAAAAAAAAAACCCCGATCCATTTTACTTCATATGTTAACACTTTTCGCAAGGTACAAAATTGTTGAGAATCACGCGTAACCAGAGTGAGGTATGTGTAGCTGATAAACTCCTAGAACTAGGGCGGACGCGGAATTCTCCGCGGAAGCGTTCCCATCATCCCGGAGGTGTAACATGCGATGCATCAGCTTCTGTGCGTCGGCATTACAACTAAAGAGTAAAGATATTTGTCATGTAAACAAAAAACGTGTCGCGAAACATTCCACATGAAAAACTGATCGATTCTCGGCCCGAGGAATGCTCGGGCCTGCCCCGCACCCCACCCCACCGACAACAAGCTACGGCGTGGGCACGTCATACTTACAACACGAACATCTTGTCCCAAGTGGGCGACAGGGTCTTGTACTCCGTATGCGTCTGCAACCGGGCGTTGACCAGTTCCAGTACGCAAAACGGGTCGGACTTGCCGCACAGGTCGGCGGACGTGAGCCCATGGGCCTTGTACACGCGCACCGAGAGCATGCCGACGTCGCGCAGGTCGCGAAACGTGCGCCGCACCGAGTACTTGTCCCGCACGTGTTCGCTGTCCGTGATTTCCCGGCCGTCGAAGCTGGACAAGTCCGAGACCATCTCGACTGTCGACGTGCCGCTGATCGTCAGCAACAGGTACAGCACGCCGCTGCCTCCGCTACTACAGCCGTCCGCTCCACCGCCGCCGCCGCCGCCGCCGTCGAAACTCATTTTGTGTTTGATCTTGTGCGTGCGTTCCCGCTCCAGCTTGCTCAGGTCGATGACGGTGCTGTCGGAAGAGGAAACAGTGTGTTATAAAACGAACGCGCCGTAAGGGATGACGTCGTTAGCGAAAGCTAGCGCGGAAGAACGTCCAACAACGTTCGAATGGGTGGCGTTGGACATTTTCGGAGCTCCCTTTTCGTGTTGGAATTTATTCAAATTTTATAACTGCGTAAATTGATGATGCCAGTCGTGAAGTTAGCATCATTTTCAAACAGATATCCAACAATGTCTAAAGAACGGATTCAAACGTTGTCGAATGTTTTCGTTGGTTTTCGCTTCGAATGTAACGCGAATTTCACGTAGACATGACATTGTACTGTGATTGTACGAGCAGAAGAGCAGTATCTAGGAACTTTTTCAGAGTGAAAACGGAAGTAAAAAAAAAATTTTATTGTTTTGTTTTAAACGCATTATTTTAGCTAATTCAGATTACGATTATTTACATTAATTCAAAAATACTGTTTCAGATACCTGGAAATATTTTTAAGTAAATTTCAAGAATAATAAGGATGATGAGTGATTTTGAATAAGATTGTATTTTAGAATAAAATTTTATATAAAATCCGGAGGTGGTTCGTCTAACGAAGCTGACAAAACTGCGACTCAATTTAACCGGTATTATAATATAACCTATTTATTTTTTATCAATATTAATAAAAAATGTATTATAAGTCAGCCAAGGTTTTATAAACATCCACTATGATTGAAATATGGAAAATAAAAATATACTAATAAAAATACCATATTCAATATCAAATCTTTAATAATAATAAAATATAAATTCGAATCATCAGGGTAGAAAAAAAAAACGTCAACATTTCATAATCAACTATCATCAAATATTTTAAATAAAAATATGTGCTAGTGGCGTAGTTAATCAAAAGGTTTTCGTAATCTAAATGCATTTGTAATTAGTCTAAGTGCTCAAAACAATTTATACTAGTAATTGAGTTCGGTACTCCATACAACCACATCGGTTATATAATCACATGTATCAAGAACATTAACTAGATCAGTTAATATCAGACATGAAAATCGGTTGTGCATAAGTATGTGCTTTACAACAATAAAATGTATATTCATTGGCACGATTTTAATGTTGTTGTGACGTCATTAGAATATTCATTTAAAAACCAAATTTTCATAAAAGAAACCACTTGGTAAAAATCGTTACTTCAGTATTATATCGTGTTATAAATATTACAGTCATATATTTCAATTTTCATAATTTGTGAGGTCATATATATATTTATAAACGGAATGATTTTTACTAAATATAATAAACATTTCGAAAAAAAAATATTCTAAATGTTAAATCTATGCTTAAGAATTTTACAATCAGTTATTTGAAAAAATAAATTAATGAGAATTAGTTGTTTGATAATTTCAGTTCAAAACGTCTAACTTAAACTAACTTCCTGTTGGTTAAAAAAAAAAAATAAATAAATATTCCTGTGAACCGTAACGTTAAATGAAACTTTCAAGTAAATTTAAAAACCTAAAATTAACACCTACAAAACATAAATTGTTATTTCTTTTTCATAATGAAAATTAACATACAAATTTAAAAAAAATGTTAATTTATTGAAAATCAATTGTTTTTCCTCTTTTATTCAGTCATTAAATGCTTTTGTGTGAATTTCTCTATTTATTAGAGACTTTTCATTATTTTATATGAACTTTACACAAAACATATAAAATTAAATTAACTTTGATTAATTTTTTAATATTATTTTAATATTAATTATGTTTTGTTATTAATTAAATTATCTCTATGTTGAAATACAAGATCTAGAAAATTTTCTGCATGAGAAGAACATTTAAAATCGTATCATATTAAAATTGAAGTTAATTTAGTTTTTACTCAACTTATTAATATAGGTGATAAGACAGTTAAAAATGATTCAAGAGATAACTAAACAATCAAACGGTATCTTAAGTTGAATTACTAAGAACTTGTAGAAAATTTAATATTAAAAGTAATTTTAATATTTTCGTTGCATTTTACTCAGAACTATAACGGTAAAAAAATAACTGCTTTGATGAGGAACATATCTGTAAAAAGTTAATTGTTACATTGGTCTAGAATTATCTAATCAAACCACAGTGGACACTTTATATTGTAGAATAATAAATAATAAAAAACAATAAATGTCACAGATACATAGATTTAACTTTTAGAGTTAGTTAATTTAATTTCTATATATTTCACATGATCACGTTTGAACTTCTGCAGAAAACTATGTCTTAGTTTCAAATTTTTTTTTATACTAACAAATAACAAACTAATATTTTTCCTTTTTAATGTTAAGAATATTTAATATTCTTCTTCTTTTGGCCTATCTACTTGCGTTCTCACTCTGTATTTCGTATTTTCCATACACATTTTAGTTAGTGCTAATAATTTTTTCGGAAAACCGAACTCATACATAATATTGTAGAGATAGTGTCGGGTTAAGGGGGGGGGGGGGAAAAGGGGGCAGCTGCCCCGGGCGGCAATTTTTTGGCAATTCATTGGTACCCAGGTCTATGAAATTTAAACGCTACAGAGCAGTCAAGGTAGTAGGGCTTTTTTTTCAAACATTTAATTACAGCTGTCTCTTAATGACTCGCTATTAACTGAACAAATACTTATTTTTAATATTTTATCAACGTACTCGTATTATTCTTCCTACATTATTAATGTTAGCTTTGAGTTTCACGAAATCACATATTACACACATATACACCGGGCCCCTAAAAAGGGGGGGGGGGCTGATGGACCTTAAGTACAGGGTACCGGTTATTTTAAGGGTCCGTGGGCCCGTTGAAATTTATTTGTAATTTTTGAAATTATCTTTATAATTTTACCATAAGCGACTTTTTTCCGAATAGATTGATTCGCTTTTTTCGTCAAAATAACGATATCGGTCTGTTATTGACGACAAGTCGCGCATAAAAGGCCGTGTGGACTTTTATTTATTTATACTTTAGCCTTTTTCTGCATTGTAGTAAGACCTACCATGAGCTGATTTATGTTTTTCGGATAAAAAAAATCCCTTCCCCTCCCGAAATAGGAACGGTTTGTATAACGACTACAATGGTTCAACAGTTAGGAGAATTCCGGCATTGTACCATTTGACGGACTGTTCGATCCAGCTCCTCTTGTACCCGTTCAAGCGCGTTCGTTTTCACGGTCTTTTTCAAAATTCGTTGTTATATTATTATTATTATTATTATGTGTATCTTATGTTATCGAGAAAAATCTAAATTTACTATAAAATAAACCATATCGTCATTGCGATATTCAATTTTTATTATTATTTTATCTAATCCTTCAATCTCAAAAATATGCCATATTACATATGTCAGTTTACATATGAATTGTAATTTATTATTTTCGTACTAACAAATCTCGCATAGAAACAGTTCTGATTTGTGGATTTTAATTTAATTTTGTTTGTCGGTAATCGGCTGTTCTTCGTCCATTTCATTAACTATTGCTGTACATGATATAGAAATCCATCACTATTCTGTCGAAGCGGCATCAAACTCAAACAAAAATAACGTTATGTTTTCAAACTTTATGAACTCTGAGTTAGTTCAACGAGTAGTAGAGTTTGGAGCGTTAGCAGTATAACATGGGATCTTAAATATTTAATCCATCGAAGAAAACCAAACGGTTTATAGATTATTTAAACAGATGTATATACGGGTAAACTAGACCACATGTATACATTATTTTTTTTCACGGGATTACGACAGATAACATATTATTATCGCTTATTTTGGGATATGAAGCAATTTACATATGACCGTCGGCAAACGAATATTTACCGTGTTATTTGCGGCTCAAGTTCACAAAATAAAATCTAATAAAATTATTTTGCATTTTGAAAATATTATAAAAGTTTTAATTTTTCGTGTTTTAAGTTTTTGTGTGTATATTTTAAATTATATACCGTGCTTTGAATATTAAGAATTATTAATGATGAGTATACGAAAGAGCATTTTTCAAACATAACATACATTTAATTTGCATCTAACTACAGAGTCAATAATATACGTAATACGTGAGTTTTCACATACCTACATAAAAATAATAAAAATGCATGAATCTTGACGTGCCTTTTGTTGAGATAGTGACATTTTGAATTGCTTACGAAAAATAAATTTTTTAAGCAATATATTGCCTTAGCCATCCATCTAGCATGATGGGAAGCACCTGGAATTTGAAGTTATATTCCACGATGTGGAGTTCCTTCAAGAAAAACAATTGTAATTTCCAGTAACTCTTTGTAGTCTTCACAAAACTTTTTTTTCGAAAACTCAAGAGCAAACTGAAGTTCATCATTCTTTGCATGGGATAAAATCATATAAACATTATTATCCTCAATACCCGAATTAAAATTACTAGTATTAAATTAGCCCCAGTATTCTTGAAATTGTTTTAATAGTGGAATATTTGGCCCTGAAATAATCCCAAAATTTTCTTCAAAAACACACCTTAATACGAGTTTATATTATATCGAGAGATAATAATATTATTACCTAATAACGATCATTATATACCTATTATTCGATAAGTAGATAATATTTATCCAAAGTGTGCCGTGACTTATAAAAACTAATAATAATGTGCCACGATGGGAAAAAGTTTGGGAACCACTGATATGTATGATGACGGATATTTATAGATATGACAATACAAAACATAAGATACAAACATAAAATATAAAATAGTTCACTAAAAACGAGTTTTTTTCATATTTGAGTTGACTGGGTTGTTAAACGAAAAAAACATAAGACACAATTTTTAAAGTAAATATAATTTAAAAAATATTTTGTTCTAAGCAATTTTCACTTATCATAAATATTATAGGTCAAAATAGCAAAAATCAAAAAAATCCCCATCTTTTCGAACTTTAGCCCCAGTGAGGGTTCTTTTAGGGTTAACCGATTTTTATGAAACTTAACTCAAAATTGACTTAACTTAAAAATGACTTAAGTCATTTTTTTTTAGTTTTGAGCAAATTCTGAGGGTAGCCTGATCAAAAATTGAAAAATAAATTTCCTCATATATACAATAAGGACTACTCTAATACATATTCATATAAGAGGTATACCTGCATTTTTTTATTTTGCATAACATTGATATGACCTCATATAGTTATCTATAAATATCTAGTATGATTAAAAAAAAGAAAAAACACTCATTGAAGTAATAAATGTTAAAGGCAATATTTTGATGTGAAAAACAAAATATTATTATTAAATACTTACTAATTATGCAATAATGTATTCTAATTATAAAAAACATATTATATAAATCTTTTAATAATATTTTTCACAACTTAAACATTTTTTTTATACGAAATCACTTCTTGTATATTATTATTGTAATGTTATTTTTAAATAGGATACCATAAAATATAATATATTATTAACTGAATAATATAATGCGACCAGTTATTTTTTCTAATTAGAAATCTTACACAAATAAATTAATAACATTTACTACAGTAAAATAGGTACGAAAAATAAATCGAATTCTGTGTAGATAAATAAAATGTGAATGCATATATTTTCTGTAGCTTTAATGTAGGTATCAAGTAATTTTGAAGCCACTTTAAATATTTACTATATAAGTTTTTTGCAAGAATTTCAAGCCACCTAGTTATATGAAAAGGCTCTACTTCATATTTTTTGTAAATTGTTGTGCTTGTGACAGTTTTATAACGTCTGAACACAAATAACTTAACTCTTGACTCGCTATAGTCTCACGGGGAAAAAAATTGTTAGAGACCATGGAAAAATCTCCAACCATTTATACAAAATCAATAGTTTGTTAGAATGTTCATGAAAAAAACAAGAAAAAAATTAATCATTGTGATATTTTTGATGTTCAAGTTAAAGAATGTATACCAAGCTTTATTACATGAAATATTTTTACAATAGAGTATTATTATTAACTTCAAAATATCCGTTGTTTTATATTATTATGCGGGTTTGGAAAAATCAATGAAAAATTTCGAGTTGTATACGAAAATATCCTAAACACGATGATTGTATTTGTATATTGTGTTGCGAGAGTTCACATATATATCCAAAGCGTTTTCAGGAATTTAAAATAGTGATGGCAAGATTTCGAACAGTAGGTATACCAGGAGCATTACTTTAAAAGTAATTAGGATAAATTTATATAGCCCCAAGCATATCGTATAGCCACAAAATACATTTTAAATTACGAATTATACAAATACACATATCTATTAACAACACTTTATCATTTTATCGTTATACCGGAAACGCATACTGTATTAATTTGTAATACTTTTTTATTTCCCTACACTACATTTTCTCACCATTATTGGATAGCAGTTTTTTGTTGTGATGTCATTATTAGTACAACAATATTCATGCTATAAGTGTAGTAAAATAATATTTGATAATAGCATTTGCCTTTAGCAGTGACTCAACCCTAACCTAGTTTTAGTTAATTAATAATACTCCGATGAATGCAATTACCATTAAGAACTTCGTTATAGCACGACAAACTGTGCATTTATATTGAAAAATAGTCCTTTGTTCATTTAAGTCAAAGAGTGAGTTTTGAGTAGATACGATTCTTTTTACCTAAGACAATATCAGATACAACTACGGGGACCGTATGGATCGTGTTAAAAGATTTCCGTCTCTGTCATTTTTCCTTTCAATAGAAAGTGTAACATTGACGTATTTCTAGATTCGATACCCAACAAAATGGAAATAAATAGATACAGCATCTATCATGTGGCTAGGAAATTTATGACGTCGTAATATTTAAAAGTTATCTTGGATGCATATTAATAGAGATTATATTAAAAACACATGGTATGTATTTAGTTTTAAATCTAGAGACACGTCAATAATACTCCTTCGGTCAAAAGAGAAAATAATCGAAATCAGAAATGCTTTAGTCACGATCCTCATGTTATTTATAGGTTTATCGGTTATTTTCCTAGCTAACGTGGCGGAAAATTATGAATTATATTTAGCGTTATAGCTTAAATGGTAATCTAATAGAACCATAGGCATTTTATCGAACATTTATTTAAAAGCCCAACAATTTGATATTGGTGGTTGTTGTGAATCTACAATTCTTTTCACTTTTCACGAAAAATAATAAAACTATCGTATAGGTACCTGGTTACTATTTCTTCGCGCGAACGATCTTTTACGCAAACGTTGATTTCCAGCTCTTGAGTCTGATCGTCGAACAGATGTAAATCGAACTGTTCCAGCCAAGTAGGAGTGGGCATTTGATTATTACCTTTGCTTTTGAATTTTTCACCTCCCAATCTGTAATGCAATTCAATCGTTAGATCCCAAAATGGCATTCGAAACAGTTTGGTACACCTACCTAAAACGTACGTAAGGGTCGCTCAAACCTTCGGCCAGCTTTAAATTTTTTAGTTTTATTAATACAATGGTAACAACGGAACTCCAAACTTGACATTTATATTTTCTTCCGATTTCGGCCACTTTTCCAGATTTTTGCAGACTCTAAATTAATCATACAGATCAGATCAATTCACTTTTGGTGGTTCAATATTTTATAATTTAAATCGATTTATTTTGATATTGAGAGAAAACTCGAGTAATTTTAAAACTGTTGTACTATTAATATATAAAAAAAAAAGCGATTCAAGTAAAAACGTTACACAAAATTAATTTAAAATACAATTTTATATTTAGTAAAAAATACAAAATATTTTAAAACTCGTAATGAGTTATTATTATCGTGACTAAAATCAGATTTTATTATATATTTAAATGACATATATTAATAAATAATGTGGAGGTGAATAAAATTTGTTTAAATATTTTCGTTGATTGAATTTTTATTATAACAGTATTTTTGTTATATGCGTATGTGTTATTATTATTATTATTTTTGATATATAGAAAGCTGCAAAAGTTTGATATTATTTTTTCGAAAAATTGAACATCAAATAACTAATGAAAAAAATTTATACAAATAGTGACATTTACAATTCATCCGTTCAAAACAATTTCTGTTATTTTGTTACAACTTTATAAACAATATCCATTGAGGGACTTGAAGTATTAGATCAATAGTTAATTTCATAAACATATAGATGTGGTAAAAATAGTAATAAAAAATAATATCTCGTCTTTCGAGTCATGAAAAGCGTTTGTATTGTTTACGGGTATATATATTTTTTACCATGAATTTTTAATGAAAGGGTGAAGATTAGGATTAGTACATACTTGACTTTTGAGCATCTTATCCAACGTTATGACTTTTAAAGTAGTCTGATGTCTCAAGTTCATTGAATCTAACGCGTATTTCCAGTATAGAAAGAAATTATAATATAATATGAGATATTATAACATTTTATTTTAATTTAAATATTTTTTCTTTTTTTTTAATAGTTTAAAATAAATTTTTTTAAATTTTTTTTAAAAAAGTAAATAAGTTAATAAGTTTTGATGAAATTATTTTTATAGCTTTTTTTTTAAGTAACTTACCTATGATAAAATTCAGGAATTATCGGTGGTGAAAGATTCAAATAATATCTACATTTTTTATTATTTGAATTAAACAGCAACCTCATGTATGATAAAGATGAAGCTTATTTCATAAATTTAAAAATTATACTACGTTTTGAATTAAAAATAAATAAAATCATTTCGCTAGCTCACTCCCTAACTAATATTAATATATGAAATATTTGAATAATTTGAAAATATAAAGGTTTTATATTTTCTCAATTAATAAAATTAAATTGATTACTTGTTCTCGCTCCTCTCGAGATTGAGGAGTTAAAGTCACATCTAGAAAAATCTCGCCTAAGTACTCAGCATTTTGTGTGTCTCGTAATTGTAAACATAGTTCATGTTGTCTGCAAACAGAATTAAAATTGTAATAATAATTTACCTTTATACTGTTTTGGCAAAATTATTTTCATTTATCTAGAGCTAAATCCCTAAGTACTAGTTATATGTATATAAATCAATAATCCGACTTGTTTGAGCTAATAGAATAAAGCTGTAAAATGCGGTAGAATCCTATTTAAACTACTTTAACCTTAAACATTAAACCTACTTAAAACTTTTCAGGCGTTTGAAGTAACTGGCTAGTTATGAGTAACGGATTCTTAAAGAAAATATTTCTTAAGATTTGAAAGTACAAATCTTTTACTAATAATGTCATACCTAATAGCAGTCCATCGATCTAAAAATCTAACCCTGATTCGTAGAATACTTAAAATAAATTAGCTAATTGATCTAAATGATATTTTTTAAAATCTAATAATTTTTTTTTAATTTATAAATTTATTTATACAATCTGTAAATATATATATTTTTACAATGATCAAAATGTATGTAAAGGTAGTGATCAGATTGTAGTTTTGATTGAAGAATTTATCAAGTGATGAAACCATGAAAATGTAATCATAAACAAATATATTTTTCAAGTGGGAGGCACTGGTGAGTAGGATTATAATATATTTGAACTATTTGTCTCTTATTATTTACTTGTTATGGGATTTATGTTTATGAATAAATTGTAATTATATAGGCTGTAAATAGTTAAATATTAGGAATAATATAAACTTAAATGAATAAATATACAGTTAATGAAAAAAATTATTTTTGATTATTAACAATAGTTATTTATTAATTATAACAGAATGCCAATTATAAAATTACAAATTAGTAGTTTCGGCAACAAATAATTATGTTCAAGAGAATTCACAATAAAATATATCAAGAATCTAAAGTTGATAAAATTTTATTTATGTAATTGAAATTTGAAATGTGTTTAGAGTTATAAATATAATATAATACGTTCAAAATTTTCTAAACATGTATTCCTATGTAAATAAAAAGAAATAAGTATATTATACATAATTTGCAATAAATATTAAATCTTAAAACTAACAAAATATAATCTAGCTTTTTTATTTTAACCAATTATTTCTTTTAGTTTTTTCTTCTTAAATTGAGTCAACAACACCATTTTAGTATTTTTATAGTCATCGCCATCCAATCACTACTAACGTTGTTAATGTAACACTAACGACAAAAAATAATATTAAATTAAACTCACTTGCCCAATTCTAGGGTCGTCAAAGTAACCTGCGCTGCTCCCATGAAGTCATCTTGAAGGCCCCAATCGTAATCGAAAACCTTAATCGACGAAAAAAAAAATCAGTAGTTTTTTAAATACAACATAATAAATTATTTTCACATAATATATCGCCTTCAATTTATAATTAAATAAATGATTTTATTTTTAGTGGAAAATTATTTGAGTAGTTAATAAAAAATGAAACGTTGATTATGCGAGTATAATACTCATACTTAGAAACGATATAAACTATGGTCTTTTTTAACGTGATAATTAAATTTTAAATTTAAAATGCACTACCCTTGTAACGTAAATTATTAAAATACGTGCATCGTGCATTCGTTTTGGAGTTTATAATAATATTATTATTACTTAGCCATGATAAAATTCCATTGTTAGATATTAATTGTAATCAGGTGATGGGCGGTCAAAAGAAATGTGTATATTGCCTGTATACAAGTTTTGACTGTTTCAACTTAAAAAACTTGTACACATTTTCAATTAATATTGAACATGTTCATATGAAATGGAACTAATCACGGTAGATATTGTAACTAATAATTACAGGATGCGTAGGAATAAAACGACTTTGAATTCGATTTGGTTTTCAAAAGATACATTTCTATTATTTCGAAAATAATTCAATTTCGTGTCTATACGTCATGTATTATTGTTATTAGTTATATTTGAATCGTACTTTGTTGATTTAATATTATAATTTTCATAACATTTTTGCTGGTATCCATTTTCATAACTATATTTTTTAAAAATTCATATCCAATAACAGAATGGTGATTACAATTTTATTCAGTAGAAGACTGTAATTATTTTGTGAAATGCATAGTTTATGTATAATAAGAAGCAAATAATGATTATAATCAAATACGCACATAATTGGCAAAAGCTATTCGAGGAAGAAGGCCCTCACCGGTGAACCTTCACTAGGGGAGACAATTATTAATAGTTGTATAAGCATACGTTTTGTTTTCATTGAAGTTATATTAATACTAAAAGTGTACTTTGTAAAACGTTGGTCTTTGTTATTTAAAAATTTTATTTTTTAAATATAATGTATACGGCTTTCAAAAAAAAAAAAAAAAAAAACTGGAGAAAGTTAAACATTTGATATCAAATTTAGTATTCACTGCATTACATAAATAAATAAACAAAACAATTGGGATAACGAAGTTCAAGCTATGCAAAATAAATATATTTCCAAAAGTAATGATCGTTAATATTCGTAGAATTTCGGAATCCTACATTAATTTTAATGCTATTTTTTCAGAAATTTTCTACTAATTGATCTTAGAATATGATTGATTGATTAAATGGAAGTCGCAACATGGCGGATAATAGTTCAAATTAATCGTTGGTAATCATGTCGAACGTGAGTAATTGGTAACGTCAGATTTTTGCCGAAGGTATATGCCCTCTCTTTCAGTTTCATCCTGCGAAAACCAAATGTATGCCAAAAAGTGTAGCCAGTGAGTTGTTTCAATGCCTTCGCAACTATTTGCGCGATTCCATCGTACGGACGCCTCTAACGCAGATATTCGGAGTAAAATAATATGCGATCTTCAAAAATTTTTTTCCGTTAACTTTCGGTTGTATACGTTTTCTCAGGCTTACGGGATATGTTACCATTGCTACTATTATTATTACTATTAAAATTATTTGGGTGTTAGCATACATGATTATTCTCCCACATTAACAGACCCGACGGTGAAACATCGATCATTGACATAATTAACAAAATAAAAATTGCACGTTGTCTATGTACAATAAAATTTGTGCTAGCCAAACGTATAATGTAAGTGTAATAAATTATTCAGTAGATATTATATTATTATTTTTTTTTTCGATTTAAATGTTTGTTAAGCTAATGAATTACTGAAATATACGATCTAATGAAAGCTATCGACTACCACCTTAATGTGACAATCGCAGCAATCGAGTGAGTATAAAATGTTCTAAACTCTGAATGTGTACTAGCGCGAAAATTATTGGAATAATTAATACACACAGACTGAGAGTAGATATTCATTTTTCGTTATAAAAAACAACGAAAAATCTAAAAATTTAAAATTATACATATTTTTTTTTTTCGTCAAAATTTTAACAATTATCGAATGTTTTAAAAGTTTTATAAATGGAACAGTAATTTTGTTTACCAGATTTGTACGCGAGACGAGATAAATTGTGATTTTTTTTTTTTTTTTTTAATATTGGATTTTGGGAAAATATTTCCTGCGTTTTTACAAGTTTAAAG